CCGCGCACCAGCAACTGCGCGCGGATCGGATAACGGACGTACCGAGAGTCCCTCTTCGAGAGACGACGGAAACTTCGGTGCGCCTTCGTTCTCTCGGCTGTCTTTCCTAATCGCGCGCGCGCACACGCACACGCGCGCCGAAATTTCTCCTACCCTCTAATCTCCTTCGAAACCAGCCACCGCTCGACCCCCACCGTTTACCCTCGCTTTTCCCGTCTCCTTCCCGCTCTCGTTTTCCGCCATTTTCCTCTTTTACTTCGCGTCTCTTCGCTCCCCGAACTCTCCCACCACCTCTGCCGTTTCTCTCTTTCTCTCTGTATCGTCGACTCCGTTCTTTCGACCCTCCCCGTTTCTCCTTCGGTTCCTGTCCCTGTTCCTGTCTCCGTCGCGCGCGTGCTCCTGCTGCTCGTAATCTCGGGTGGATCTCTTGCGCGCGCGTTCTCTCCCGACTCTCTCTCTTTATCTATGCATCATTCTTCCTCTCCTTCCTCTAGCTCTCTCTCTCTCTCTCTCTCTTTCTATCGCTTTCTTTATCCCTCTCCATCCGTATCGTATCTGATTCCGTTCTTCCAAAGAGGCACGATTCGTAGGGTGGATTTCTTAAAAATACCGACCGCGCCACCCTCGACGATCAACGGTGATTATTTGCTCGCGCGTGAAACCCGAACGAAAGTTACCGGAGGGTACGGATCTTTAACGCGCCGTTGACCGTTCAAATATCGGGAAGGTGCGCGTCGATGTACCGCTAGACGACGGAAATCGTCTCGCGATCCGCCATCTTCCTTTTTACCGTTCCCGTCCGGGATAGCTCCAACCGTTCTTCCGATGCCTATTTCTCTTTGCTTCGATTCCGCTACCCTTTCGTTCCGTTCCCCTACACCCACGACCCTCGGTGCCCTTGCCCCCAGCTTCGACTTTCTCTCTTTTCCCTTTATCCCTCGTTTCAACGTTTCGCGCGACGCTCCCCCTAACGCGCTTTTCGCTTCCTCCGCGTTCCGTTACTCTACCTCCTGCGCAATTTCCACGCTTCCCTACCGTCTCCTCTTCCCTCTCCTACTGTCTCTTCTTGTATTTTTCCGTCCCTCGACTAAAAACAACGGTACACGCGCTGCCGGTTGCCTTCTGCCCCGCGCAAACTGCCGTTTCCACCATCGTCCACGGCTGTCCACTCCGACGGGTTCTATCCCTCTTTGTTTTTCTCTCTGTCTGTCCCGTACTACCCCGAAACTCTAACACTGGAATTCACCCTCGAACGATTTCCAACGTGCTCCTCTCTCGATTCTTCGCGGCAACGATGTTTCTCATCGTCGCCACTCTCGCGCCATCCTCCGCCGTGTCGATCGTCCCTCCGCTTCCAATTTCTTCTCGGAATTTTCGTTCGCGCCACGTTTTACCGTACACGCTAATGTCGCTGTTGGATTACCGTATAGCTCTCTTCACGTTTACGCTGGAAATTTTCACGCGTTCTCTCGAATCTCGGCCGCGGTGTAGAAATTCGTGAAAATCAGGGACCGCTACCTTCGCGTCGTCTCGATCAGCTGACGCGCTCCAATTTTTACGATTTCTCCTTCTATCCTAACGATCGCTTAACCCGATTAAAAAGTGACCCAACGTTCAAATTTTTCCTTACAACGCATCTGCTTCTAGCATTAACCATAACCTACAGACGTTATCTTTGACAATTTTTCGAACTATAATCACGCGAAAAGTATCTAAAAACAAAAAAGCGTACGACCCGTATCGACTTTAGGACCTTGATCGTATCTCTTTCTAAATAAACGAAGAGACATACTCGATGTTTCCTGCAACTCTGTCTTCCACGATAGCATGCCAGACGCGGTCCTCGATCAACGACACGCGTTGCCAATTGGCAGCCTAAATCTCTCTAACGCGTTCGTACTCGTGGGATTTGTAGATTGAAATAAAAAAGCTATCGTCGATTCGACGCTACCTGGCGACGATGCGACATTAAAGGCACAGGGCGCATGTACAGCGTCAACAGCCGGAGCAAGCACGTTTTCCTGCGCACGGATGTATACGCATACACGAGAAGGCGTATCCTATCAAGGACGTTTTGTACCATGCGTTCTCTCTCTTTCTCTCTCTCTCTCTCTTTTCGTCTCTCAGAGTCTCAAAGTTAGGTCGAGGGCAACGGTGCGCATGTCATGAACGGAGGGAAATATTTGCGAATCGATAATTCGCGAGCAGCTGCAGCAACAGCAACGGGTTAGTCACGCGGACAGCTAGCCTATTTGATTGTTAGTCGGTCAAGTCGCGGTGGTAACCCCTAAATTAGCCACATCGCTTTTTTTTCTCCTACTTCTGTTCGTATGTGCTAGTATATCTACATATATTTAGCGTCTCGTTCGAATCCGAGTAATCTCTTTTTATTTTATTTTTTTTTGTTTTTTCCTTTTTTTTTCTTGCACTACCGAACGACAGTGATGGAGTCACTTCCTCGTGATTCGCGAACCATCGAAATCGTAACGTCTCGATCCTCGGTTATGTCTCGAATCAACGATTATGGTTATTAATGCACGCGTTACGCGACAAAGATGACTTGTGACTGTTACAAATGATCTTGTGTATGTCAACGCCGACTCTCGTACGGGTCTCTGAAGGCCAGCATAACGGTCGAATAATTATTAGTAATAGAAAAGAGAAGACGAGCTTCGAGTAATATCGATATTATGTTTTCCAAACTGAAACATCGGTAACTGACGCTTTAACGTGTCTTACTACTTGTCCCTTTCTAACGAGACAGTAGAACAAGTCGACGCGTTCACTGTCGTAGTAGATCCAGCCACATGTGGTACGGCATCCTATAACGTTAACTATTACGCGTTGATAAACGTTTTAATTGCAACGCTGCAGTTTGCTGTTTCAAATTATCAGAGAAATCTTGGCAGTATTCGTTTCGGTTTGATCGAATCACATTCATTGTGTCGATAATCGGTGATCCATGTGACAATGAACGTATTACTACTTTGTTTGCCGGTATTATGATCGAAACAATGTCCGCCGCTAACCCAACATAAAAACGAAATTGTCATCGTACTTCGGATGCTTCATTAGCACGGTGAAAATGATCATTTGTACTACGATACGTCATACCCTACACCGTTACAGTGAACATAATCATTATCTCTTTTCGATGCAATTAAAATATGCAAGTAAAATATGCAAGTAAAATAAGATTCTGTTTAAAAACATCCACGAAATTATTAAATGCACACGTATCGCTCTGCTTGCAAAAAGTATTGTATTGTCCTACAAACATATTCTTTATGCCATTCGTCCTTTTTCTGTAACATTTTTTATTCTAATTGCACTATGACGATAGTGCACTGGTGCACCTCGATACCGATCATTGGTGACCCTTAGAGCAACGAACGCGTTAAACGATCGTGTTTCGATAATGATAAAATTACAATTACACGTATACGTGACGAAAGGTGACTGGACGTCAGCATCGAACGTGCCCGATTTCTTGATCGCAGCTTCTAAAAAAGTAGTGACAAGGTAGGGAAAAAAATGCCGGATATCAGTGTGAGTAAGAGAAGAGGAAAGATCAAGAGGACGAGTTAGACAGATTCAGAGGCCGAGAGAAGAAATCGGGGTTGCTGCGATAGCGAAGGTGGAGAGGAGACGGGGCTGTTCGGTAGGTTGAAGAGGCTAAAGCAACGAGGAGAGAAGCACGATCTTTCCTCGGCATCGCGACCGTCTCTGAGCGATTTTTGCACAACAAGGAGGCGAATTCAAACGGCATTGTACCGTCACGTGCGGCCACTCGCTCTCTTTCAACGGGGCGTCGTTAGAACCTCTTTCCTTCGTGCAACCACAGAACTTCCTTACATTGCCCTCATTCTCCTACCAATTCTTTTTCTACTCTCCCTCCCAATCGCCCTTCTGCTTCTTCTTCTTCTTCTTCTACTTCTACTTCTTCTTTTTTTGCTCCTCTTCGCTTTACTTTTCTACTTACTTCTGTTCTCTGTACGTCGGATGTTGTAGTTGCCCCGAAATCATCCTTTTTCTCGATCACCTTGCAGAAGATGCAGACAATTTGTACGAGCAACACACGTTTTGTATCCCGAACGAACGAAATAAATATACTAATCGGTCCGAAAATTAATTAGTACGAATCCGACTTAAATTTTAGCGTAAACTGTTTTAACCGACTTAAAGTAGACTCTCGTTACATTGTCATCTTTTCATAAATTACATCACCGTAAAGCACGAGGATACATTGCGTCGTTAGAAGCCGATACCGTTTGTTTTCGGTGGACAAATAGGATCATCCATCGATTTGACATGTAAATTCACAGAAACACTGCAATATGAATAAAAAAATCTAATGATTGAAAAATTCGTCATGAACGTGAAACATAATTATTGTCATTATTTAGAAAAATGATCGTCTACAAAGTAAACTATATTATTTTGATTATTGTTTTTATCGTCATTCGATGAATCATGACTGACGATAATCAAATTACAGTTAAAAATAATCTATATTTGCAGTGCTTTACTTGATTGGGAACGGTCGTATGCGCGATGGGTATTCGTTTTGCATGGGTATATTCGATACTCCCCAATGTTTCATACTGTTCGCTTGAGTCATTTTTATTTACGTCTGTACAATCACGATTAGATATCTTGCAGCTTTTATCCGGTACAAGGTCGACTCTGAGAGTTTCCAAACATGAATTGCCTATAACAATGATCGCCACGAAGAATTTGCTTTCCCATCAAGATTACGAACCAAATTATCTTCTCGTTTTCTCACACAAATGGTTACTGATATTTGCGTGATGTTTCATTTGTTTGTCATTGTAATTTCATGTTTATTGTATTTTAGTGTCCAGTTAAACGAAAAGTATAAATATTCTGTTTGTTTTTATTTGAATAGTATATCTGCCGTCGAACAATGAAGAAAACGGCAAGTTTAATCTGCCGGCACAAAAATTAGAATAATCGAATAAAAATTCGATCTTTGACATCGTACAGTATACATATATAATATATGTATATGTGTATGTATATATATATTATACATGCATAACACGGCCACTCATACCGACTATTTACATTATTTCATACGTTTCTTTCGTATTCCACTCTTTGGAAAGACTCGATTCAACATTGATGGAATAACAGTAAAGATTGGAAGCACCATTTCCTAATTTACATTCACTTATTTCTTGCACCTATAGATTAATATGACTTTTGTTCTTCTCGTTTCACAATTAGAAAATGGTTGTAAACGCAATCTTTCACTATAAATACAAATTTATACAATGCGCATAAAAAACGACGATTTGAAAAACTTGCGTTGATACATTTATAAGTTAACAATTATTAAGACCTAAAAACTAGTTATATTCCGTTAAAAGGTAAAGAACATAATTACACGTAGGGAGCAAGTTTTTTCTCATAACGGTTAACGTCAAGCATTAAAAATATCAACCGTCTGAATTTTATAGCATTCCATCATACTCTCTGTATGTCGTCTATTTTTCAACCTTTATATATGTATACATACGTATATACAGTAACGAATAATATTTACAAACTCATATCACCAATTATATCATAAGAAATATTGTATGCATTTTATTATATGTGTATATGTATATACATATATACATATAATATATATGTACATACATACATACATACATACATACATACATACAGCAATAGCACTAATAGAATTATTTCAACTATATCTAATCGCCTAATAAAGAAAAAATGTATACTGCGATAATAAAACGGCAATAGAGATAATTATATATAAAACAATAATTACGTGCAAAAACATATATAGGTCATTATAGTCGTGAATACAGAACCGAGTAAAATAATATTTCGGATACATGATAAGTAGTTTTTAAATAATGTCACTTTTCACCAGGTATTTTAGACAAATCAAACATACTTAAAACATTATGATACTCGGATATATGATGTCCAAAGAAAGAATAATTTGCAGTCTTGATTGTTAAATATCTATTCTTTAAGTAACATTCAATAAAAACAACGCAGATAGGATAACAATGATTCTTATTATTAAAATAATGACAGATCATTTCCGATAATAAATTCGCATTTACTCTTTGTTTTCCTATAAAATATGGTACGTAAAAAAATGCTTAAAGAATGTTGAATACTAAACAAATTAAATAAGTTTATACGAATATTTGGTATACAAACTGTAGAGCTTACAATTATAAAATATATTTTCAACGATTTAGTTCTTTTAAATAAAAAATAAAATTTTTTAAGCTTTAAAAATGCTGTTTTCTTTAACGATTACAAGTTATTAGCATTCTATGCCAAATTCTGTAACATCTTATAGGAGCGTATCAATTTTATTCGAGATATATAATAAACAATCTATGAAACGTAATAAAAGATGAACTTAGTCGAATTTTATGCAGAAATGTCATTTCTCTCAGGATCCGTGGCAATGACGTTTGTAGCTTCGTTTTCAACTGCTAGAGTGGACCCGGTTGAATTTGATGTTTGCGAATTCGATACAACTCGCATAATGTGACTTGTAATTTCAACAAGGGGTGCACGGAATTCTGGAGCATCCACATATACATTCACTGTATGCGGTTTAGTGCTGCTCACAGAACATTCTAGCTCCGGCAACTCACCTAAATATTTAATCGTTATACTTGACATTTCCGTTTCCTTAAGTTTCTACCGATTCTTTTGCTGTTAATAAATAAATTCGTAAATTTTATACCATTAATGCTATGGATATCAGATGCTCTGAAAACAGTTCCACTGGATGGTTCACCACTGTGTACACAATCCTCTCTATCTTCGGACGTAACGAAAGACAGCTCTGAATCAGAACTGCTATCCGAGTAACTAAAATCCTGCCTGGTTTGTGATCTTCCAGCACGATCAAACGGATTTTCCCTTTGCCGCGAAAATGTTCCACCCTGAGTGCCTGATAGAATATTAATTTTCATTTTCGTCGATCGTAATTTGCGTTTCTCAATACGTGAAGCTGGAAATTTTGCGTACCTTGATGACCGTCGCGTATTAAAGGCGTTGTATCGTCAGCATCCGAATCACTTTCGTCAGTAACAACTTGTTCGTCTGCTGCAAATACTTTTCGTTTACAAACAGGACAAACTCTACGGTTTTCGGTCAACCACGGGTCAATACATTTTGTATGATATGCTAAAACCCAATGAGACATTATTAATTAAATATACTAGTACAAATCTTTCTCGCTACCATTATGTACTAACCATGTGCACAAGGTAAAACTCTTAATTTTTCGCCTTCCGCGTAATCATCTAAGCAAATAGCACATGTTTCGTATGGATCACCCTTTGTATATTTGTGCGTAGGAATTTTTTTCAAACTTGAATTTGGTAACCTATGCCTCTGTTGTCTTCTTCTATCTTTAATACACCTAACAATCTAGAAATAATACAAAGTATATTAAAAATTGTTTCTTTCAAATCATGCAATAACATAAATGCTTCTTTATTACTTCATTTTTATTTTTCAGCGTCTCACCATAAAAATAACCATGACTAGAAAACAGATCCCAACAACGATAGCGAAAGGCAAGAGCAAATGTGTAATGTTAAATGTGGCATCGTCGTTAATTAATACAAAATACAACTGATCGTATAAATAATTTTCTTTAATAATCAATCCTGTGATTTCACTGACAAATACAGATGGTATAAATATCCCCACAGGATCCTCCGCTGACATTGGTTCTACAACAAAATAAATAGATAAATATGTTTATGAATAAACATATAAATACATATTATTATATTTATTCATTTATTATGACTTTCCCTTGGTAAAATATTTACCTAATTCATTACTGTTTACATTATGTATAATTGCAGCGTCATACCCTGCTTTCTGTGCCATTCGAACTTTTATTTCAAAGCTACAGTTATACCGAGCAATTAATGCTATCCAATTACCATTGTAATTGGTAATGTTGGGGGGACCTTGTATTTCACGACATGCTGTAGGTGGGTCTGCATATACAACCATACCCTAATAAAATTTTTTATAATCTATAATATATACCTTCTATTTGACATGCATCATTCTAATAAATTTTCTTACAATTTTGTATAAAAGGCTATTATTATTGTCATTATTACAAAAATGCAATCTTTGAAAAGCTACATGTGTTCGAGGACTATCAAATGCATTATAATTGTACATCATAAATCTCATACGATCGATTTATTCTTTTATGTTGTTACATTTTTCAATATGAATCCCTTTAATACTATAAATACCTTAATGCCTTCAGATGGTATCAAACCTCCAAATCTAGCAGGCAAGTCTCTAAATTCTTCTTCGATTTGATGTCTTGCGGCTGCAGAAAATACTAAAATATCTGCTCTATTGTATATAACACAATAAATGAGAAACATAAGCCACAACTGAAGTTGATGGCTTAAACAACACTGTCTCATTTTTAAAAGTGTCAAAAGTACCCGCTATCTTGTCAATTTTAATATTCTGTTAGTAGTTCTCTTAAGTGCTTCATTGTATATATTATTTAGTCCACAGATACCAACGTATCCATTATAAAAGAATAATGCTAACCTGCAAAAAATTGCAATAATTTTATTTTAGACAATTAACAAATTTGTAATTGTGTTATTAATGCTGATATACATCAAATAGTTTTCAAGTTTTCAGTTTTATTATTATATACTTGTTAATAACAATAGGTTTTTGTCACAATTGAAATGTTCCATAATTAAGGAGGTATAAATTACATTTTTAATATCATCATGTTCATGTTGTATAGTGTTGATGCATTAAATACGCCGATTTTATGAAGTAATCAGTTTTCCTAGTAATTAATTGACATGAATTTTTCATGATGTAAAAGAATTTATTTACAACTTGCGTAACAATTTTGAATTCACTATAAGTAGTTAATGAATTAAACGAAACATGACGCGTACATACACATATAATAGTATCGTACGAATTCTAGATTCTTACTACTTATATTTGATCAAAATAATAAAGAAATGTTACATCGATGAATAATGCGATTCGCAGGAAGATGAGGTACGGATCTTTCCTGTTTCAAAGCAAAATAAAGGCATTAACTTGATACACGAAGAATATTCGTAATTTTTGTTTGACACATTGACTAGTAGACGCAATTATGATTAATTACTGGATGCATATCAATCAACATAAATAACAGTGACATACACACGTAAACGCATCTGAATGTAAACACGTACGCAACAAATAAAGAGGTTCGCATAAATTTAATGTTATAAATTCCCCTGTCAATGGTAACATTCAACGTAAATATAGAGATAATTTCGATACGTACTAGTACTTTTTTCTTCTTTCATCCAGAAAAAGACGTAGCGTGTGACATACAAAGGACGTTTAATCAGTCGTAAAACGTATATACACATACGCTGATGTATGCGTATTCACCCACACACGTAATTAAGTGGATACTACTAGTGTACAACGAGATGTACACCGTTCGCACATCGCGTGTCGTTTACACTTCCTTCGACGGCTTTGAGGTTATAAGAAATGGAAGGTTATATTTTGAAAAATGTTAGTTATTTTCCACTAAAGAACAAAAAAAGTCTTTCAAAAGTGAAACCTTTAAAATGACACCAAATCGGTTGCGACGTATTATTTCGTTAAATAAAGTTCACGGGTAAATGTCAAACACAGTACTGTAGTATTGAAAAATCTTTTGTACATAACTACTCCGACTGACTTCTTCTACATAACACAAGAACAATTTATACAATTCCTATGTTTCAAAACAGCTATCCGTAACTCGATCACTTAAGTCACGCGGATGTCATACATACAATATTTCCTCTATTTTCTCGCGGAACTATCTGACAGAGCCGTGCCGGACGTGCACATTCATGAACAATAAGCGCTAAATTTAAATTCGACTAAATGTCAACTTGTAACGCATTGATTTTTATATCGCGTAATTTGTACTTTTATGAGTATAAAATTTTTAATTGAATATTATTAATATTAATATTACGTTAATAGTCAAATATCTTTGAAATATTGAACTAAGGATAAAAATAAATTGTATTTTGATTTTTCTTTGTGTATGGAGATTATTTCAATTATATGCTTTAACATTAATTAACATTAACGTCATTCTTTAGTTTAAATAAATTAAATATACATAATAATTTTCATAAAAAGTATATTTAAAGTACATGTTGTAAAATTACAACTGTTTACATACAAAACATTTACTACGTCACAATTTTCTTAAGTAATTATAGATACAATCAACTTTGTAATAAAATCAAAAAGGGAAAAAAACATTTTCCACTTTTGAAGTTGCTAAAACTTATGTTTTTTATGTATTTACTTGTAGTCTTATATCATCATTGAATTACATTATTTTTTGATAAAGTATTTCGTGTATATATATTTATATACATCACAGACATAAAGAGTGGTCACTTATAAAATATGATTTTGCAATTATAACGTACGTACATAAGTTGAAATCCGCATGTTTCTTAATAAAATCAATTGAAAAAATGAATACATAATATAGCTATGTATCAACATTTAAAGAGTGTTTTATTAAATTTACACCATAATGTATTATATACTTCAAGTACGTGCTTCTGATAAAACAATATTTTATAATGTTCATGTTAATGCTATCTAATAACTAATCATCGCACGAATAGAAACAATTAATTTAAATAGGAAGAGAATTCGATTTATGCAAACCTGTAATTCCGTTCTAACTAAAAATTTAATTACATTGTTCGTAATTGAAGGCACTCATCAGTTTATAATGAGTCAAAATGTACATCGTCAAACTTATTACCTCTGTAAAATTCTACTGAATATACAAACAATTCACTTATTTTGGCCTTACTAAAATTTCCCACGAGAAAACCTATCATCCAGATATTGTGCTTTGTTTATAACAGCATTTCTTTGAGCCTGATCAAACCGATTGATTTGTAAATCAATATCTCTATCGAATGGTCTTCTAACTGTCCCTCCAGATAATTTTGCTTTTTTTTCTTCTTTCTATAATTCATATATATTTATTTATTAAATTATTAACGTTAAAATATAAAACATAAGACATTTTATCAATATAAAATGTATATAATACAACCTTTTTTTTCTTTCGAAGTTTACTTTGATGTATTTCTAATAACGATTTTTCCTGTCTTTTGCTTTCTCCAGAGTTAACTTCGAAACTTTCTTCAACTAAAGCTATGGTCGATGTATCGTACAACGTTTTCCCCTCCTAAAACGGTACCATTTAAAGGAGTATTTTAAATTAGATTTTGTTAAAAAAATATGCGAACAAAATTTATTTTGCCGTGCTTGCCTGTTGTTTTTGTTTTACAGCTTTCTTTGCTGGAGTATCGGTCCAGCATGATCTATCGGACATATCTGGACCTGACTTCTTTCGAAATTTTCTTGAAGTTAATCCTAAATTATTGACTTGAACCGAAGGTAACTCCGTCATCCATTCTTCTCGTTGATTCAGTGTATTATCGTCCTAAAATGTTATTTACATTATGCTAAAAACTTTAAACGTTGAAATAATTGAAATGTATTTCATTTTACCTCATCTTTCTGTTCCTTCTGAATCTCCAGCGCTCTTTGTTCCAATTGTTTGTACACATAGTTTGTTTTTAATGCTGGATGATCAACCGGTAATGGACCTATCGCATCATCGTTTTCAGATTCTGTTTGTTCCATTTCATCGTTATCGAATGATTGCGTTACGCTTGTGGGAAGAGCAGGAGCTATTATTTTCACGTTCATTTCGTTATCGCAATTCTGTTTTAACAAATGCGGCGGTAACACTGGACCGAAAACAACATCTGCATCTAATGTAGAATTTTCACCCGCTCCATTATTTTGATTAACACTACTCGACACATCGCCTTCGGAAGTTTCTGTTACGTCTTGCGCGATAGTTTCTGGTAAACAAGGTCCTATAAAAACTGTATTTTTTACTAGCTTTACATCATTAGAAGAATCAGTTACTAATTGTGGTGGTAAACTGGGTCCATACGCTGATTTGTTCTCGTCAGATGCATACAATGAGGGTAAAGTAACTTCCGTCGTATTTAAGAAATAACAGTTATTACATTTTTCAAGAGGATTTTTATTATTTTTCTTATGACTTAAATCAACTGTTTCTTTTCTTGATTCGTTTTCAGATTTTTGATAAACGTCATTTCTACAATCTTGACTGATTTCCATCGATATAGGTGACATAGTACCTAATGCAGAATCTGAAATGGTACCAGAGTTATTATTACTGGAACCATGTAACGGCTCGTTCATCCTTGCATTTACCTTTGCCAATCCTTCTGAATGTTCAATTTCTGTTGCTTGTTTTTTTAACGTACTTTTATATTCATCGTTCGAATTTCTTTTTCTTGTCTTTACCTTATGTTGCTGTAAAATTGAATTCTTACTTTTAACATCCGAACTATCAGACATATTTTCATCTGTTTCTGACAGAATATCAAATTCAGATAGATTTAATTCTTTACATTCATGATTGTCTCCTGACAAATCACCTTTTATTAACAATTCGTTATCGTTACGATCTTGTTCTGTACTTTTGGGCGAAGAATATTCTTGCAAACATTGTTCTTCATTTTCTTTTGTCGATGATTGTTTATATACATTGTATCTTTCAGATTCTCCCCGAAATTTGTCACGGTCTTCCGACCTCGCTTTCGACGATTGATATCCTCTATCGCGACTTTTGTCATAAGAGTGATGCTTATATTTTTCATGGGATTTATTTTTGTGCTTGTCGTTATCGTTTCTGCTACGAGATCGTTCATGAGATCTATTTTTATGATGTTCGTCCCGATCTCGATTTCTATGTCGTTTTGCATCCCTTGTTTTATGTTTGGAAGACAACACAGAACTTCTTGAACCTAAACTAACATCCCTTGCATTTCTATAATCTTTACTATCATCATATCTTGAACTTCTTGATTCGTGAGGATGTTTGGAGTATTTAATATCTCTATTGTCCGTATCCCGTTCTCTCGAAACTCTGTGTTCATCTCTGTTGCAGTCGCGTTTCGATTTATCTTTCCTACTTTTACATTCTACGTCGTTGTAACAGGATTTGTGCTCCGACCGCAATTTTGATAATTTTCCTAGTTTTGTTTCCAGTTGTAAATTATCTTTACGAGTAGCTTCAAAACGAAATCGTCGTCCATCGTCGCTGTCTTGACTCTCAGAATCAGAGTCCATTGTTGTCATTATTAATTATTCACTGAAAGTAGTAGAAATTCAATTATTGATACCCATCTAAAACTACTTGCATTATTAATTTATAAAATACAATACAATAACATTTAATTTTAACTGTGAATTCTGCTAGTTAACAGAATAAAACAGTATTTTACGAGAGTATTCTTCTAGAACTGTAAGGTATTCGCTGATACCTAGAAAGAACAGCTACAATTTGACTAGACGAGAACTTTATTTAAAACACATATCCATGAAACATAGTACATATGACAGAATTAAAGTATGAGTAAAACATGTGTAATTACTACTCTACACGTTTCTCTGTTTCCTTTGATTGTGCCTGATTTTTCACAGTTGCTACTATCGTTTCAACTTTATTCTTCGATTCTAGCTTTGGTAAGGAACTTGTCTCTGGACTTGCTTGCAACATCTTCATTATTTTTGCTGCACTATATTTAACAGATTTTACAAATCCAGCAGTAACAATCCCTTTCAAACTTTGTGTAACACTGGATCTCCATACAATGTTTTTTAAACATTCCTCTAATATTTCACCACATTCAGGATCATGAGCAATTGCACGCAAACAATCTTCTGTATCCTTTGATCTTGGGCCCTGTGACCATGCTCTTACTAGTTTAACTTGTGGTATTCGTGGCAACTGATTCAAATGATGTATTTTTGTTGTTGGACTTGTATCCTGATGACAAGTGACAATTGAATTATCAGACTTTGGAATATCCAAATAATTTTCAAAATGTTGTAAAATTGGACTATATAATTCTTTAAAATATGATAGCTGAGGCAGGACAATATTATTAACTTTTTCTTTATTTTCACCAAAGATCATTCGAAAGTCACCACTGTAAGATAGACCAGCTATAGTTTTATAAAACTGAACTTCTGTAAAGTATTGTGGAAGTAATAACAGTGCTGCGTGAACTGCAGAATGTAAGTTTTGTACTAGAGCTGTTGGTATTTGAGAATTTTCATTTGGTTCTATCAAGACTTTAACTGGTTTGTGTAATCTTCCTGCCAAATACAAATCATTCCAATCTAACAAATCTTCTATTAATGAAATTTCAGAGACTACTCCATATTTGATAATACATTCTTCTGTTATTTTAACCAATGTATTATAATATACCTTAGCACCCCATTTTTCTTGTACATTTGCAATTGCTCTAGGCCCAAGAAACCTCAATGGTTGAGCATAATGCTTGGGGTTAAGATGTAGATTCTCAGAGTGCCATTGTTTTATATTACGAACAACAAAAATGAGATCTATCATTTTATTAGATTGATTATTTGCTTGCTTAAATGCACCAGATCCATATGCAAAGCAGAATTTCATATTTCCTGGGAAACATTTAAGTATCCCTTTTAACTGTTGAATTCCAATCAATTTTTCCATTGTGTTAAAATGTCGATAGTGCAGCCAGATTATACGCAAGTACACTCAATTCCTTTAATTCTGCATAACATCATTATTAAATACCTTGAGTAATTGCTTTATTAGTAATATCTTGTAAAAATTTAATATGATCATTAAAGGATTCTCCTCTTTTCTTACATAAATTTAGCTTTTTTTGTTTAATTAAATGTTATGAAAACAGTAAAAAAGATGGAAAAAATACAGCACTGAAGAACAATATAAAGAAGTGGCACCTGATGAAAAATAAATATTTTCTATCCGTAATCATCCAATTGTTTCGGCAAAAAGCGTCGTAAGTTTCTGGATTTTTTATAATTAACTGCCTTCTCTTTAACCAAGATCCATTCCGTCTAACCTAAAATTTTGTTTCATAAATTGAATAATCATTATACATACTTACTTAAAAACCGCGTAATATCCTATACCAAAGATTTAATATTAAACAATAACCGTATGTATAGTTTAAAATAAGAGAAAATAAATAAACGTCAAACTGCATAATCCAACATCTTACTTTACTGTGTATTGACCTCAGAAACATATGATTAAACTAGAAACATATGATAAGAACTAGCGAATTGCCTGTTTTGTAATTTCATTGGGTTTTCTTCAGTCAATTAACTTTACCGTTTTAAATTGTGTCGCTTAACAAAACGTAAAATATTTATATTATTATGTTCATATCAATTTTTTACAAAAGCGTGTAATTTCAAACAGTATCTTGTTATAATACATATCTTTCTTCCTACGGCAGAATACCAAATTCACGCAGTTCAAGTATCTAGGGAAATTCCTAGCTGACAGTATGAAATCCTTTTATCTATTTACACCGAATCATTGGCATATATTATGCCTAATTCACAGGAATCAATAAATATTCAAATTTTCCTAAATAAATGGTTACTTTTAAATCAAACTGGTGTACTTTACAATAAAAAGTAAATAATATCTTATTGTAACGTAATTAATTTAAAAGTTTCATTGTTACGTGTATTTCCAAAATTTATATTTACACGCAATCAAAGCACCATCAAACATCATCGCTAAAGCAATTACGAAAGTATTATGCTGTGTCTATTTCTTATAAGCGTATGTGAATTTGACAGTGTTAGACACATAGTTGAACGTAATTGCAATAAAACATATATCATAATGTTGAATTGAAACTTGTCGATTGAACAGCTGTGTTATTTAAGGAAGTATATTAGTGTATTATAATAAAAGCATTTGTTTTATTTAAGTTTTAGGTATTGTATATATAAAAATTCATGTTGACATTTTTAGCAACGTTTATTCTAAAAAATGTTGATTAATAATTCGTTACATGTTTCATATAATACGTATGCAGTAAAAATCAGACAATATGGAGGTTGATGAAAACAATGCATCAGCTCCAACGGATACACCAATGGAAGTTGATCATGATGCCGCTGGAAAACATACTACTTCATCAATTAATCCTCCAAGTGCTATTAAAGTAATGGCATCTTCTGGTACAGTAGGCTCTGTTTCTATTAGTCTTCATCCGCTTGTTATAATGAATGTTAGCGAACATTGGACTAGACGTCGGGCTCAAGAAGGAACGGATCAGTTAGGTATGCATTTTTTAATGAAACATTCGATTATATGTGATATATTTGATTAATAAAGTGTAAAATGTAAATGTAAAAAAATGTTTTAGCATATTTAAGTTGCACTAAAGAGCATTATGTATCAAATATTTTTTTCAGTGTACGGAGCATTGATTGGTAAACAAAAAGGTCGTAATATAGAGATCATGAATTCCTTTGAATTAGTGTTTACATGCATTGGAGATGATGTCATAATATATAGAGATTATTATAATACAAAGGAAGAACAATTTAAACAAGTTTTTACTGATATGGACTTCTTAGGATGGTATACTACAGGAGATATGCCTAATGAAAAGGATATTAAAGTACACAAGCAGCTTTGTGAAATAAATGAGAGTCCTGTATTATTAAAACTTGACCCAAGACCAAAAAATACCGATGTATGTTTTTATTCTTATTGTGCTTAATATTTTATACTTTTTAATACAAAGCCATTGTATTTTGTAGCAACTTTCTGTATCCATGTATGAATCAGTGATCGATTTGGTTAACGGAGAAGCTACAATGTTGTTTGTTCCATTAACTTATACATTGGCTACAGAAGAAGCAGAAAGAATCGGACTTGATCATGTTGCAAGAATGTGTACTAATGACGAAGAAGAAAGTTCATTAGGTAATTTTATAGATATTCAAATTGTTTCGAATCATTGAAATGAATAGAAATAACTTATAATAAAAAATTTCAGTGGCTGAACATCTCACTGCACAGCACAGTGCTATAAAAATGTTATACTCAAGAGTAAATTTAGTTTTAAGATACGTACGTGCAGTACAGAGTGGTGAACTAAAAGGGAATCATGAAGTGTTGAGAGCAGCTTGTTCTTTGGGTCATAGATTGCCAGTTTTAAATAATCCCAAATTCAAAGCTGACTTTTATAATGTGAGTATATATGCTATCTTTTGTATTGTGGTGTAATAATTGTACTTATACATTCTTACCAATATTTTCAGCAATGCAATGACTTTGGTTTGATGACTTATCTCGGAATTATAACGAAAGGCTGCAATAATATTAATCAATTTGTTAACAGATTCAATATTTTGTATGATAGACAAGGTGTCGGTCGTCGTTTACGTAGTCTTTTCTTGTGATAAGTAAAATGAAACTCATTTTTATAATAATCATCCTTTTTTTACTCCATACGTTATATCGAATATCTTTTCAATCTTGAAACATTCGAAAAAAGCAAATTAACTGGTGAGTAATTCTAAAGTTACAATAGATACTGTACGCCTTACAGAATAAAGTTGGGACTAAAATACATATGGAATGTTTGATTTTGATATGTAACGATATTAGATTCGGAACTATTACCATTATATAAATTTATTAATATGTGCTTTACATTCATATTTTGTCCAATATACATACATACAAAAAGTTTTGTAACGCGTTCTACACTTACATTGTTTAAAACAAAACGTACATCGAGAATTTACGATAGATAAAGATGTAGTTACACGTACTTTTTTCTTTTTCATCTTCTTTTTTTTTCTTTTTTTTTTAGTGGAAGACATTTTATAGTCAATATATTTTTGTTTCAAATTTGTATATTTTTAGAGGCCACATTACTTTCCTTTTATGTAATTCATTTTTATCATTTATGTGATTTGTTTTGTATAAATTATATTTGATATAAAAAAGCAGCCTATAAAATACGACTAAAAATCTGTTCCTAAAAATCTATTCAATTATTACATATACTTCGGTTTGACGTATGTAACGACTTATAAATATTATACTGTACAAAATATAGTATAATATATGTATTGTGCCTCGTTAATTATTGCAGGTAACTATATCAAGTTATATACTTTATATAAACATAAATTAGAATTGACTTGTTGCATGGCTAGATCTATTAAACTTGTACAAATTCCATTATAGCGAAAATTTCAATTTACAATATGACCAGGAAATTGTAATACAGTTATTTCGAAATACTTCGTTCAAACTGTAATAACAATTTTGTTTGATTTTACTTATGTAATATAATATTCTCTAAAAAGTATTAAAACTTTAACTTATAGTTTAGTGGATTCTTTTGTACACTGAGTTGTGCGGTTTTGTTTGATATTGCATTGATATGAAACATTTATATCATGGAGATCGATGTTTCTATACTGATCGGATAATTTTTTAAAAAGTTAAAAGCTTTTCTTAATCTGACGTTTCTCACAAGTAATATCTTGGAGTACGTTTTACTTTTACAAATTGTAAGATCGATTGTAATATCGATTCTCGAATCTTTTTATGTATTTTGTTCAGTTATTCAATAAGCTGTCTTCGATCATAGTAGCAAGGAGATCTACTAAAACAGACAGCATCGAGTCGGGCTAAGGACTCAATTTCTCCATACCAATTATTTCCTCGAACAGAGTATTTTTTCCTCCTGTTTGTTCTTCGATAGCATACACGGCGAATCTTAACGTGGCGGCGGCTAAATCACCGACCGACCAATGCCTATCCATAAGAACTCGACTCACGGTATCTAACTGAAAAAGCGATAAACAAAAAATAATAAGTACAGTGAAATTATACACGGATTCACTTTAGTTAGGTAAACAATTATTCTACCTTTGATAAACTAGGATTTCCTGTAGTGTAATAGACTAATTTTGGTACTCCTGCCAAAGAAGCAGCAAGCCATTGAATAACTAATTTCAACTGTGGATCCCCTTTTAAACGAGAACCACATCCCCAATTACCAGTAGCAACAGGCAGTAATCCGCCTGCTTGAGGACTATTGTCTCTTGGTATCTAAAAAGAAGTGTCACTAAATTTAAAGTAACGTAACTAATAATAAAGATTATCTTAAATAATACAGATTATTTATAATCGAGGAAATGTTTTAGTAACCGTGTAAAATTGAAAAATCTTTGACAATGTTATTATGGAAAATATAAAGTTATATAAAGTTGAATTATATTAATGAAAGTTAAAAATTGATTTTAGAGTATACGAGTAAGACATATTGAAGATATTATCAAATAGAATGAGAGACAAATCATTAGTTATTAGAGGTGCAACCATAAAATTTTAAGTAATTTCTTTATAACATATATCATGCAACGAATTATTAGAACATGAAAGGTTTCTATTAATTCAACATATTCATCGTTAAGCTGGAATAATTAAATATAATAAGTGCTTGTCGTTATCATATTAAAAGATAATTAATTTGCAGTATAAGTTCATGCATTGCGTTTACAAAGTACAATTGACACATGTGTAACATAAGTTTGCTCACGTTAAATATTACATGCGATTCGAATTCTTGCGCAAGTTTGTCATTATTCACGTTGGCAACAAAAGATTGCGTTGTTCCTTCTACAGTTCCAGGTGTGCTTAAAGAAACAGGATTAGATAGATACACGGTAGTTTCGTCATCGACCAATGTTTGAAAAACTTCGGATGTAAACGTTACCGTCCTAAGTTTTCTACGTTGAATATCCTTTACCTCTTTCGATATCGTATGATTACTTAACGTATCTTCATAATATTCTACATCTTCAGACTCAGAGACCTGTATATCGTAATAATCTGATGAAATTTGGCTGTATATAAAATATTATCTAGGATAGCATTAGTTTTCAGTTTGTCTCTCATTCTTCGTCGATTCAATATTTATAAATAATCATGTATATATATATATATATATATGTATAGAATTTATATAATCGTTTCCAATCCAATAGCATAAAATTTCTTTTTAAGTAATGTTATTGTTTCATTCAAAAATAAAATAAATTCGTTTAAATGAAAAAAAGACAGTGATTTATTTCTTACTGATTGTTGTCTCCTATTTTTTTGACGAGCTAGTTCTAAACTCAAACTTCTCACAGCCAAAGCTAGTTTATGGCTTTGATTTACATCGGTAGGATCGATAAAGGGTTGAGGTTCACCCTCTTGAACTGGAACACCAGCAAATGATTCGCTGAGAGCTCTCTTTAACAACGAGCCGGCGAATCGAACTACTGCTTTGTCTCTTGCGTCTAACTCTCGAGATTCATCCGCTGCTATGGGATCTTCTAACCATTTTGCTAGTTGTTCGTAAACTTCTTCGAGTTCGGAACAAAAATCTAAATGTATGGAGACAAACATAAACTCGTTTATCTTTAGAAACTTTCAAATGATATTATTTATAACGTGCTTCGCGATACTTGCCAGAATTATATTCCGTACTGAAACTGTATTTACTACTAGCACTTGTGTCTCTTCTTTGAAGCATAGGTTGATTCTGTCGAAATCTGCCTAACCATTTTTGTTCGGCTTCTAAAGATTCCTTTAGAAAATCTTCATCCACTGTTTCATCTCGTAGAACGAAACCTCTCGAACCTCCTCGCTTTACTCTAATACGAATAAGTTTGTATATCTAAATTATATATTTACTTATACATATAATATTTCTATCAATTTTCTTACTTAATGTCTTGGTCACAAACGTGACTTCCAGACACGCTAATACCAACTGCGTAACTGCTTTCTCCAGACGAAGTATTAGACGAAGCTGCTCCTGTAGCTGTACTTTCTCGTTTTAACGCGTCCCTCAAACGTTGGGCAAATGTTCCTCTTTTTTCTGGAGTGTCCAACTGACTACTGTAACGTTTACTTAATTTTTGTTCTTCTTCTTCTATAAATATTGATGCACGAAGACGTTATAGACATTTATATTTTATGCAATGAGACAAAAATGAAGTATATTACGTACCAGGATCTTCGTCTATAGTATCTTTTGCACTATGAAAACTATCTGTACTCTGACTGTTACAACTGCTGTAAACTGACATTTGTCCAAGCGATTTTCGTGTAACCGGTAAAACTTCCCCACTTGATCCAAGTACGATAAACCGATTCCTTTTGATCGTGGTACTGGTGTCGCTGCATATTCTATGTGGACTTGGAGGTCTTATAGATTTACCATTTGGTTTACTGCGAACTTCCGTTAAGATATCGTGTCTATTAGATTTTGCTAAAAGAAATAACGAATAACTGTTTTTACAATTATTAAAAGTGTTTGATTACGTATCCTCTGATATACGTTCTTTAGTACCATTATTCGTCGACAATACTTTATCATCGCCTTCTGTTTCTGGAGGGGTGCTGCTGAAACTCTCTCCGATCGGCGATAATCTTCGAGAACCTAGTGCTCCATCTGGATCCAATTCAGATTTTACAGGATCAGTTGGACTGTTCGGTACATGCCTCTGTCGAAATCCAAGCAAAGATTTATTCATTTCCCGGAGTATATTGTCTTCTTCGAACTGCGATAAAGGTAATCGCGAGTAATCCTCAGGATCGATACAACATACTGTTACCTATCGAAACAAGACCACTTAATTACAAGGATATTAATTGTAATACAAAAGAGCACTATACTTACGATATTTGGTTTCGGCAAAGCTTCAAATATGGCTCTATTACGAGGATCGTTTATTCTAGATACGTGTCTAACACCCTCTACTATTAATACTTCGTTGTCTTCTAAAGCTTCAACTGATAATATTGCCACGAGCATTTCGGGATGCGTTACTATCTAAAGATTAAATTAATAACTATAATTTCTCGTTACTTTTTAGTGCAAAATACACTCGCTAATATTTGATACTATTTTTTTTCTTCTTTTTTTTTGGTCACTTTATTTGATCTCAGAGCCTAAAGTTAATTAACTCAAATCGAAATTATTTTTCTCACGCGCTTTAATTATTTACATGTACAGTTTCTTGCGTAACATCACCATCAAGTACGCCGCCGCCAAACTTTGCGCTCGCGAAGCAAACACGTAATACTTTAGTCTCTGGTTCCAGTCTCTCCAGACGGCCCTCATGACGTATCATCAATGGACACAGTGGAACGTTGCTCTCTAACCAGTCCTCGATAGTTAACCATTGCTTCGATGTCATTACCTGTTAATCATATGTACATTTCATTCCTATTTTTAAAAGGCTAACAAAATTACAAAAACATATAAAGTACCTGTCTAGAAATTACTATCTTTCCATCCAATGCATTTTCAGCTTTAATGTAATCATAGTAATGAAATATACTTCTTAATTTTGCTTTCTGTCCATTGCTGCAAGTTAATATAAAGCTGTACTTGTCTCTTTCAAACTTTTAATTAGTTTTTTCTTCAGTTGTCTTCTGGGTTAAACAAGTTTTATCTTGATATTCTTGATTTTGATACTTACTTATTAAGGTGTTTAAAGAAATTGGTGAAATTAAAATCTCGTAAAGTTGGATGAGTCTTTGTAGTTCTTTTAGGATATGTGGAAAAGAATGCGTTTGCTATTAAAGACGAAACAAAGGCATAACTGTACTCGACGCAATCACCTATAGCACAAATAATTCCCTCACAATTTTTATTTCCTCGCTGATTATTTATACCGAATAAAAAAAAAATGATATACCTTGTTGTTGAAGACTAAAGTGCAAACCTTGCGGTGGTTTACAAGATCTTAAAGCTTTTGCCCTGTCTACCATACGCGGTATTGTCTTCGCGAAAACTTGTTCCCGTTCCGCGGAGTCGAGATCAGTGTCGAGAAATAACGCTAATCCAGAAAATAATTCTGGATCTTGTGTATCTTCTTCAGGGTCGAGGCTGATACTGTAAAACAAAAACAAAATACTTTGAGATACATGAATTATGATTAGTAAGTAAATATAAAACACATAACATTGATAGATAAAACATGTAAAAGATGGGTGGGTTTTTATACAGAGGCGTTGCGCTTAACAGCATTGGGTACATCTTTTACGGATAGTTAGAAATATTCATTGATATGATACCTTTTCAGAATGCACTGTTCCTCGTATCTTTATAACAGCATGTAGCAAAAAAATCGAGTTCGTTAATATCTCCGCGAAACAAATGCATTCTAATCAAATCGATACGCGTATCGCACACGCGATGCCAGTTAGTTGGAAATCAAATACGCATAACATACATTAACAGGTCTGAAAACTTACTTGCACATGTCGTGTAATCTTTGCATCGCTTCCAACAGATCTTCGGAATTTCTGGCAGCTGCTGCTCGATCTAGTTGCTTTACTACCGCCGGCCACCACGGTAGATCACAGGGTAACATTACCAGAGCCATTCTAGTCGTCGCTCTAAGATTCGAAGTTCGCGCGGAACGGTCCAAACGTGTGCACGCATGCCCAGGAGAAACCAAATAAATAACGAACAATTAGTCTTACGGACACATTCATTCTTTGTGTCATGATTACTTCGTGCTTGCATGTGTATCGAATCGTATACACTCATGTGTAAATGTACGTTACTCGAATCGCGCGATCGTATAACGTGTAATGTGTTACAAAATAGGTTGTCAGTTGGCGAACCGAATTTCAAAAAGGAAATCTTTTTTGGCAGCTAGCCCACGATCTGTTTCAGTAAAACGATCTACGTGTGAGCGTTACATATACGTTAGCCAAGATCCGGACACTTGTCATACAAATCGCGTATTGCTCGTGTTCGTAATATTATATGATTGTTTTAAATCATTTTTATATATTTTTATTGTCGAACTATTTATCAGCTTATTTTCAATCACTTTTATATCGCTTTAAGTAAGTGTTGTTTTCACCGAAGAAGAAACCAAAGAAATCGGCTCTAATTTGCAGAAAAATCTCCGCACCTGTTTCTTATTTTGTAGAGTATATTTACCTTGAACGAAACACACTTTGAAAAATATAGCTGGTGTTTAAATTTCTACAGATACATACGTTATTGGCGAATAAGTCCTCCCGAACAATCATAAGGAGTGTAGGTTTAAAACAAGCGCGGTTCGTCTACCAAATTATTACGCGCGAATTATCACATGAAAATAAATATTCCATAGTTATAAAATAAAATAGGGCTATCACGGACTATGTAACTCGATATCCTTGATCCGTTATTTAAAAATATAAAATAACAATATAGATGTTATTTTTATAACTCCTTCGAATATTCACAGAAGTGATATAAAACGTACATCTAATTACATAAACCTTAGAAAATCATATCGATATTAGTATGCCGGTCATTAATTTACCTGAAATTTATCTTGATTCATTTCAGTCTGTAAACATTAAAGTATTAAGCGCACGATCCACGTTTCTTGTTAAACCATAAGTTAGTTTTGTTTGCCGAAGGGGTGAACGTATCCCTTGGAGTCTCCATTTGTACCTCAAAACTGCTCGTGTGCCTAGCGGAAGGGGTTGCGAGGTTAGTACCCTCTCGACGCGAGGAGAGTATATAATTAGTTACTCTGGTAGCCGGGTAGAAAACTATCCGGCGAGTCAACGAGTTATTATACATCGTATGTAAATGGACAATAGTGTTTCGCAAGACACGAGCCTAGTTGTTTGAAATAAGAATTTATATAATCACCTAAATCGCTTGATACGTTGACGATCAGCTGATGCGACCACCAAGTCACATCTTATTGTTAGTGTGCCATTGCGTCAACGGACACACCGCACATGGTACAGTGATCACTCGTGTAATTTTAGCGTCTTTAAAACGTAGAAAACACCCTGCATAGAGTCGGATTCGTTGCGTTTCAATGATAGCATCGACGACCTCTTTGTTTCGTTTACGTTTATTCACGACAAACTTGACCCGTGAAACGTGGTTCAATTAATCTGGAAACGATGCTTAGGAAGAACAAATATACATCCACGGCTAGGTGGCACAAAACGCCGAAAAGTACCACTGTTAGCTGTTACGATACTATCGTTGTGCGTACCCGATGGCTAGCTTTCCTTTTACTTTGTCCACGAGCCACAACCGGCGATTGGCGTTGCACGCTATTTATAGAACGGCGCCGGCGCCCTGCCAAACTCTATAGAATTTTTGACAGTAATCTTGTTTATAATACTTTCTTAATTATGATCAAGTTATATAACAATTAACACCTTCATAATGATCTCATACGTTTACTTATGCATCGTAATCAAAGATACGCTTTCAAAATTACCGGTAGTTACATATTTTTAGGGATTAAAATCACATCCGAATAACGCTGCGTAGGTAAAGAAGTTTTCTAACTTTTCGGTTGTTGATAAAAAAGATAGCTTCAGCTTTACGATACAATTTTTAAAACATGTAAAAAGAATTCAACAAATATTTATATTTATTATTATAATATGCGTGAATTATATTAAAAAATATAACAAGTATATAAATCATAAAATATAAAAGTACGCGAGTAGTGATCGATGTCGCATTACATTGAAAGTATTATTTATTATATTATATATTGAAAGTATTATTTACTATATAGAAATGATTTTTTTAATTCTATAAATGTATAGAATACGACGAAACAATCAGAAATTATAATTGAATTACGTAACGGACACACACGTAGATTAAAGGCTTTGCTTACCAGTCACTCGGAGATTTCAATGCTTGGTAAAGAATATCGGATCAATTACAGTCATTATTGAAATCATTTCTGTTTTGTTTTGTATCCTACAACCTGTTTACTACGTGTAATTCAAATTTATACGACTTATTCATACTTTCGAATAACTATATTACACATAAATTTTGTTTAAATATCCAAATCTTTTTCTAACGAAATGGCATTAGAGATGTATTACAAGTTAAGTATAATTATGAAATTTTACTAAACGAATTAAATGAATATTTATTTAATGGGATACTTTGAATTACATCGATAATTAATTCGTCTCATTTACGCCTGTATCTAGACTACCTGACTAGTTTGAATCCGACAGGTGCCACCACCTTGCGGAATAATTTGCGTGATCTAGTAACAATTTCAGTAAAGTATCAATGCGGAACAAATAGGGTGTTTACCTAGTTATAAAGAAATCGCCAGAAATAGATAAATATCTGTAGAATTTTAAGTATTTGAATGTTGACAAATATTTCTATTAACTTATGAAGGATCGAATGTAGTTCAGGATGTGGATATCACCAGTGTCAAAATCAAAAAAGACGAAATAAATGTTTTTTACGAGTTTACTTTATTTTCAATATTTGATGGATCATTTCCCTCTAATCGTATTTCCTAATAACTAAAGAATATTTGTATCCATTTGAAAATACAGTCGGAAATATAGGGCCCAAGGGTGGTAAGTACATAACTATGTTCATTACAATCGTGTGTTCCAACGGTCTTGGAAAGCGATTGTGTCGAGCGGCGTGGAAGAAGGGGATTTTCATGTCGGTTCAGTGAGCTCATGCACGTCGAACAACACTCGTCGGCAACGGCACGATCCGGAAATCTCTGAGACCAAAAATGGCGTTTCTCGTGTAGCTTATTACCACACCGAAGTATTCTGGTATGATTGATTAAAGAAGTGAGCTCTGTCGAAAAGAACATCGCATAAATCGAGGAATAGTTTTATGAAATTTCGTGTCCAAGAAGCCTCTTTACAGAACAGTCGACGTAAATATCGGTTCACATGCCAAACATTCTTACATCTTTAATTATGTGAGTCCATTACGTGAACGTGCTTTGTGCCTAAGATTTTTAGTCCGACAAAGTGAAACGTTATTCTTCACGATTCAGATTTTTAAATACTTTCACAGTATCCCTTTTTGTGTATTCTTTAAACAAACCAACCTTAAATCGCGCTCTTTTGCCGAAGATTTCGATTGGTCGATTCATCGATCATTGGCCAATCGACGGTACTTCTCTTGAAATCTACGATTTTTCTTCTGAAAACGGACGTTATCGTTTTCGGGAAAATTTTGATCGGTTGACAGAAACGATCTCGTTTAATTATTCGAGATTTTTGCCAAAATTTCAGTGGAATTCAATCGATACTGAAATATATAAATATACCAAGTGAACTTTAGTTAAAAAAAAGTGTGAAGAATCATATACGGTGAAAGTGTTAGAAAAAGAGCTGAATTTTGTGCGTGCAAGCATCAGAGGCGCAAGCGTGTAATACCGATATCTATCAGTGCTCTATTGAAGATTCCCACGTAAAATAGTGGAAGAAGAACGTGTTTCACTCTTTTTTATATTCTTATAATTAATCGAATTTTCGTAATACGTTATCGTTACGTTGCTATTTGTTCCGTCTACATTATGTACAGAATAATGTTAAATAAGTTGTTTTACCAGAAATGTGTTTTGCCTAATTTACTTTGAACATAAGCCAACTCTGTCAGTAAGTTTAATCGCAGTCAAGTTTGCCTTTGTTTCCGTCGTTCTATCTGATTTTTTTTTTTTTTTGCTTAAAATTGCACGTCACGTGTCTCGTGTTCGAGTTAGGGTATCGAATTACAATTTTAATGTAACCGAGTCTAACGTCGAAATAAGGACGAAAATCGATAGCACGGTTAGTCGAGAAATTTACTCATTTCGGTATAAAATTTTTACGCACTTACGCAAGCTTCATCGGTTGAACAGGATTTTAAGACAACAGTGATGTCATAACACAGCGTAGCGCTTCGAAGCAATACCTTCGGCACGTGTAGCTGATGTCACGCTAATGTATCATGTGTTAGCAGTCTTAGGATGTCTTAGCATCGATAATCAATATTTTTATTCGTTACTGAATATATGTATCTTACATGTCGGTCGGTCTCTCGATTTTTCCTGTAGAATGCTTTTCATGGAAAAGAAGGAGAAAAAAGTAGACGAAGTATATCTTTTCTACGCTTTCTTGTTTCTTTTCTCCCGACTGTAACTGTACAAGATTCAATGAATTCGTATGAAATAGCGGAGCTGTGGTAGTTATTCAGTTTAAAGGATATGTGCGAACTGCCAAGATACATCGATGATCAGAGATGTTGCAGTGTTCGCGTAGACGCGTAGACACTTTCACCGTGAGAAATTTTTTAACGAATTCATCTCATCTTAAGTAACTAGAGTATTGTGACTAACCGAATATTCTTTTATGCGAAAATGCATGATATTGTCAATTATTACTAAATTGAAGCCTGAAATATAATTTTCATAGCGTGGCTAATATCATTTATCAGCCTACTTGACCTATGGTTAACGTTCCAATTGTTTCGACAGAGACGACTAATCGTTCGAACGCGTTCTATGTCTTTCGACAATAACCAGAGTTAGGATCGATACAGCATCGATTTAATAGCAAATAGTATCGGAACCGTAGATACGAAAAAGAATTGATATTTACTTTCTCAAAAACTTCGATATGATGTACGAATCGTATAAATATCATCAGCATGTATCGGCATAGGTTCGACCGCCACTGATAGCCACTTTTTTATTCAGTTCGGTTGACCAACGTTGTTGGTAATTGGAGTTTCTTTTTTACCTTAGATCTATTGGTTATTAGCCGCGTCGATAGTAATAAGTGGCCGCGTGGTGTAATGTTGAATGAAAGAAACAAAAATGGAATTGACCGAACAATTACGACCCGAGGAGTTGGTGGGTTTGGTAGCCCGGTCCGCGGAAGGCACAGCAGCCAAAGGGATGCCCATCAAAGGACACGAAGATCTATGGGTAGAAATTCAAGCGAACACGTTTAGAAATTGGGTGAACGAACATCTAAAGCATGCCGCAGATATCGCTGACGGTCCTGTAATCGATCTCGCCGAAGATTTTCGAGATGGTACTCGACTTTGCGCTTTGGTAGAAGTTCTCACTAAACGCCGTTTGCCGCGATGGAATCCTAGACCGGCTAATCAGCATCATCATTTGGAAAACGTATCGACCGCTCTTCAAGCCATCGAAGCCGACGGTGTAAAACTTGTCAATATCGGTGAGTTAACTTATTTAAATCTTTACATTGTTTTTTTTTCTTTTTAAATATTGATATAGCAAAAGTCTTAACATTTGTTTATCTTTGTCTCGAAATTCTCAAGTTATGGATCACCTGATTTGTGACATTCATTTTTCTTTTTGTGCACTTTTGACATAAGATTCATTTTCTTTAAGATCATTTTTTGCATACTTTAAGGTCACCTGTGCTTTTTTAAACGAAGTTACGTACAACTGCATTTCTATTGTCGCAATGTTGTAATCCATGAGAAGGTAAATTCAATGACATAAGCCCATGTACGTCTATGTTGATCTTCGGGTGATCATGAACCAAAAATAATCGGGTTTGTATACTATAGAATAAAGAACGCAATAGTTAATGGCAATAGTAAAACACTTTAGGAAAAAAACACGTAGCTTATTCTTACGAGTCCATGTGTCGATAACATAATTAAATGTGGACCATCGTTACGAAACGTTGCATAAGATTTATTAACGAGTTCTAGTGTATAGTAATTTCTAATTCATAAGCAAGACATTGCAATTATATTTCGAAAGAAAAAAAATATACAGTTGTCACGTCACTGCTTGCAAATTGAACTTCGAGGTCGTTGCCTTTCTTGTGTTCACTCGGCGCCTACGAGACCGTTCAGTACCATTACAATTATACCCCTCTAACCACCGATTAATTTAATTTCCAATGTATGAGCGATAAAGCGACGCGTCAGCGATTAATCATACACATATACAAGCTAAAAGAAATATTTTCGAGTTGGAACAAGAATGCGTTAATATCTTGATCGAGATTCTTGCGGAAATAAAAAGAGCTGCTCATTCTGGAAAATATAAACGAGGAAAAGTTAATATACTCGTACAATTAATTACGTAATAATAATACAAATGTACGATGTTAGCAATTTCCGGTAGAGCAATAAATTCTTTTCCGAAAGCATTTCTTTAAACGTTTCCGTTCATACATGTAATAATATGTAAATCTATGTATGTAATGAGTCATGTTTTTCCAACGCAAATGCCTGGAAGCTTTAGTCTACGTATGGATAAATCGCTTTTTCGATACCCATTTTTGCCTCTAACATAGAGGAATTGTCCAACGCGTTCCACTGATATTTAAATGACCTTTTCCACACTGCCAGATCTTGATGTTCCGAAGCTTTCTATTACATATTGTTTTGGACAAAAGTTAAAATAGTTTATTTATCTAATTTGATGCGTAAACGTAGGAAAAGATCGATATCATTGAATAAATACAGGTCCTCATATTATTTATGCATGTTTTTACAATAGAATGTCGTCGACATTACTCGACGTTGTGTCAATGTGCGCTTAAAGTAAATGAAGAAAAACGTACAACAAAAGCAAATCCTTTGCTCGTGTTCGTTTAGCGTAAACGATCATAAATCGGAATCCCGTTGAAGTAAAACGCGTCTAATTGAATTAAATTGAATTGAAAACGGCATCGAATTAGATTACGTTACAATAGGCGAACATTTCTAAATTGCGTTGAATCTGCCAGGTGTTACTGTGATATTGACAATGAGTATCGTTTCAAAGGATTTTAATGAGTGCCACGTGATTGATCAGTTCAATTATCGCGGCGTATGTTTTTTTACGAGCAAGATTCAACTCTATGGAAAAAAATAGTATTTTTTTATCAACAATGGAAAGTTATCGTTTGAATTTTGTTTGTTGCAGGTAACGTTGATATCGTCAATGGAAACTTAAAATTGATCCTTGGTCTAATATGGTCACTCATTGTACGGTACCAAATAGGCAAGTCCAAGTTCCCTCCAAGGAAACTCATGCTGGCATGGCTCAAGGTCGGTATACGTAATTGCACAAATAACCTTGCCGCATCGCGACTACAATCTCGATGTAAACATATATATAAGAAAAAATATACTTGTTGAGCGGGATATTTTGCCGAATATGATGCGTAATAAACATTATATACCTTCGTTTATAATTTCTTCCATTTTACACAGCATATAAAAAATGAATTTATTTACAGGCTGTTTTACCAGAATGCAGAGTAAACAATTTTACAACAGACTGGAACTCTGGAGTATATCTGAGCGCGTTGCTCGATTATTGTCAACCAGGTCTGTTCCCTCATTGGCGTCAACTTGATCCTAATGACAGGTATAAGAATAAATTTCTGAAGAATGAAATTCAGGAATTGTAATAATTATGTTACATTCTCAGCGTATACAATTGTCGGAAAGCTATGGAGATTTCAAAACGCGAATTCGATATACCTATGGTACTGGAACCAGAGTACCTTGCATCTCCATATTTGGACGAACTATCGGGAATGACCTACTTATCGTACTTCATGAAAGAAGGTTCACCGGGTTTTCATGCGACATTGCAATGGGTTAACTCGCAATTACCTCACCATTCGGTACAAAACTTTACGGTGAGCATTCGCTCGTTAACATCACGGTTAGGATAAACGTGTCTTTTTACTATCCGATCAATCCCTACAGACTGATTGGAACGATGGTAGAGTTTTGTGCAGTATCGTCAGAAATTTGGGCGGGCCTGCTCCAGCTTATAATAAAATCAACACTGACCCTTCTGCATGGGAACATAATATACAAATGGGTAAGCATCGATATAATCGTCTAATTTGTCTCTTGGCATACGAATTATTTATATTTCTAAACGTGATATCAGACTTTTCTCATATTTCCTCGAAGGTATCGACGGAGGTAAGAAACTAGGCGTGGAACCTATTCTCAAGGCAAAAGACATGGCTGATCAGAACGTAGAACATTTAGGCGTTATGGCGTATGCGGCATACTTTCAATGGGTGAAGCCTCGCCCTCAAGCGAGCAAACAAATTGTTGTGCACATAGACAGCACTTCCGCTCGGGTGCAACAACCGGTTAGTTCGTTAACTGTTGTTTCGCGCTAATTTATATTGTTTCAAAATATCGTCGCAATGAGTTGTGCCGTGATCGTTGACATACTTATTTATTAAAGATAAAATAAGAAAATGTTTTAACGAATGTTGACTAATAATATTCGTTATCTGCAGGCACACTTTAAATTGGAAATTCTTACTAAAGAGGTAAATACAAGGGAAGTACGTGGGGAAATAATAAGTCCCACAGGACGAGTAGAATGTAGGCTCACTTGGAACGGAGTTCATGGCAAAGGAACCTTTGTACCTACGGAAGTTGGAATGCACAAAGTTCGTGTCACTAATTTTAAATATATAAACAAAATTAACAAATAACATTGTTTACCATCTATATTTCAGTTAATGGTGTATAATGACGGAGAGTTAGTAGATGGATGCCCTTATTATTTTAGAGTTTTACCTCCTTTGACTAAAATAAAATCACCTGGCATGGATCCGTGCGCTATAGGATCCATCGTCGAAGTTCTAGTCAATAGTTACGGTGAGCATTGTACCCGATGAAATAACATTTTCACAGACAATAAATATATCGAAATTGCGTAAAATAAACACTTCAGGAACTAGTCATGATGGCATTGATGTAACTGCATGGTCACCAACTGGAAGATCTTTGTCGTGTCCAGTTAAAGAAAACGATGGCGTACATACCGCCACTTTTCAACCCGATGAAACAGGAGAGTGGAGTATCGCGATAACTCATAAAGGAAATCATATACAGGGCGGACCTTTTACCTGTTTCGTATTTGATCCCAATGGGATAAAGGTAAACCGATTTTTAATATCGTTCAATGAACAATTATGATGTTCGATAAATATTTGCAGCTATTGGACACGGATGGTGCTATGCCCGGTCAACCATTTTCATTCATTGTCGATGCAACAGGAACCGGAGGTCTTGGTGACGTAATAATAGATTTAGTTCACGATAAACAGTCCGTCGCCTTTAGAATAGAAGATTTTGGACACATGCAGTATCGGGTGATATTTGTCCCATCTGATTCCGGAAAGTACAGAGTTTACGTATACTTCAATGGTTCCGATGTTCGAGGCTCTCCGTTTTCTATCCGAGTGGGGACTCAAAAAGGATCGAGAAGGTCAAAGGAATCTACGTCTAGCCTTGATAGAACCAAATTATCTTCGTTAGAAAGACGAATGAACGGTCTAAACGTTGCGGTGGAAACAGATCGGTCCAGTCCTGTACAAAAAACCTATTCTTCGCCAACGTATAAATTATCGAGCCCTACTCAACACGCGCGCGATTATTCTCCTGTACGTCAGATTGCTTCCGTGTATAAAGCATCGAACAATTATTCGATAGACAACTCTAATTCAACGTATCATACATCGACTTCGTTTAATCGAGCTAGATCTCCGAATCATGGTCACAGTCCTGTTTCGCGAAATCTACATAGTCCATCCATGATCAAAGAAACGAAAGAAACGTATTCGAGTACGACGTACAATCAGTCGAGATCTCCGACCGTACAAAGTCCTAGTTTTGTAAAAGAATCAAAGGACGTTTACGCGTCAAACACAGTAAATAGATCTCGTTCTCCCAATCCAAGTCCGAATACGTATGGCTCAAGATATTCGCCAATTATTAAGGAATCCCGGGAAATTTATAGCTCCGGATCTTTGAAGAGATCTCGATCACCGACTCAAAGTCCAATGGCATATCGCAGCGCGACGCAAAGTCCAGTTAATAGGAGTTTCAGTCCAAGAAGCAACGACAGGGATAGTTTCAATAGGAAAAGTTCTATGGATAATGGAACCGTTGACACGAGTAGTAACGTTAGAGTGTCATCGATGGTTGGTGGAACCTCGAGGCGAGATTCATGGGATGCTATCGAAAAAACAAAATCTTTGTTATCTTATGGTAGCCTAGAATCCCTCGCGAATCTGGCCAATAGTTCAGCCACATTTGAAGATACCTCGAATACCTCGAGTTTTTTCAATAATAATTGCAAGAATACACAGAATTATAGTTCAAAGAATATGTCGCACACGCATCACAGTTCTTCCAGTTACGTTTCAAATCAAAAACTTTCAACTTCCGATTACGGCACGTCTCAAAGATTTAACAACGAAAACCACAATGCTCGAACGCAGGTACAAACGCACGGAATTCTTAAAAATAAAACTAATAATTATTACAAAGGCGTGGATACGACAGATGGAACGCAAGAACGATATCTCGACAACGGTGTTTCCAATTATTCGTCGACGCAAGGAAGATCTTCTGAACTTGTAACTGGAAATGCGTTAGAGATGCTGCCGATACACAGACCGACTACCTTCACTCTTGATTCAAGCGTAGATCCAAATAAAATTGCTGTCAGTGTTACTGGTGAGTTTTTTATGATACTCTGTAAATAATATAAATATTAAATCGTAACATCTGTTGATAAAAAAGTTAATGATTCGTTTCAGGTCCCAATGGCAAAACAATTCCTGTGCAAAAATCAACTCTTCGGGGTTTAACGTATACGATAATTGCAGAAGAAGTTGGTGAACATATCATTCAGATTCTAATAAATGGCCAACATATCCAAGGTTCTCCCTTTAGGTTTGTAGATAATAAAACTACTAGAATAACGTGTTACGGATAAATAAATAAAATTGAATCGGTTATTGCTTCAGATCACAAGCATATAACGCGCGTGCAATCCAAATTGGGAACATTCCGAATGGCGTTGTCAATCAACCAGTCGAATTTGAAAGTATGTGTTAAAGTATATTATAAATATTATTATAAAATAAAATATGTATATTGCATAGTTCATATATATATTATTGCAAATATATTTTTCATATTTCTTTTGTAGTTGACGGATCTAAAGCCGGATCTGGAAATTTAGAAATTCTCGTAAATGGTGGTCACGTAACTAGTTTTGTCAGGGCGTTAGGTAGCCAACGATTTTTGGCATCGTTTGTACCTCACGAAGCTGTTGTACACCTCGTAGAGATGACATTCAACGGTGAAGTTGTCCCCGGTAAGTCTCTTTTTCTTATGTACGCATATGCATAATTACATACGTATACGTAATATATTAGTAAAACTTAAGATCGAATTTCAAATAAGGCATTGTTATTTTTACATTTATAAATAAAATGCAGAGAAGGATGCGTTGAACGGTAAGATTTTAAGTATTTATAAACCTGAAAGACTGAATGGAAATATTATCTTTTTTACACGGAAATAGTTGCTTCGTTTCCATTCATCGAGCAACTTTCGTCTTAACTCTGTCATCATAAACTATTATTAATCGTAAAAGAAATATTTTAGCGAAAGTAATTTATCAGTTGACAAAGTCCTACGATCGTGGTAGTCATATACTAGGATATATTTGTTCAAAGATGTATTTATCTACAGTTATTGTATAATACTTGGCATTTGTCAACCGTATGATCGACAACAAGGATTTAATTTTTGTATTGATAAATACTATTTCCCTTTCTATCTTGATGAAAGTACCTATTTAAAATGTTCCCCCACCGCTTGATGGGGAGGTACTAATGCCTGCTTCAGGTCATCGGTCAGGTCATTGACTTACGATTTCACGCATCCACGTGATGTTCCACTGACACATATACGACGTCATCGTTTCCTTTCCTTCTTGAATTTTTTTCCTTTCGTTTATTTAACGAAGCATAGTGTACACGTTATGCCTATTTCAATAATCTCGTTATACAATGTTACCGTATAATATCGTACTTTAGCTATCTTATTTAATAATTTCTTTCTTCGATGTTACAAATAGGCCTCTAGGTAGTTAATATGGAAAATACAAACTTTAAGAAACAGATAATATCTTTTTTTAATATGGAAGTATTCTTTTTCCTATTTATCGACATAATTTCTTGTTATGCCGTTTATTCCAGTTTATTACAGATGTCCAACTTTTAACCGGATTCACGCTACGTCATTGCAAATCTACAAAGAATATTACATATTTAGATGCTGCGTAGAGAAATGCATTCCGCAATTGTAATTGCACGTTGCACGTGGCCTACAATGTTATAAGAAAGTTTGTTAGAGTTCTATTAAGTGCTTAACGTGTTTCATGCATCAACACCGAGCTGTTTCAAAATATTTATTGCACCGAGTTCCGTTAAATCAGAGATCAATTATTAAATATTGATACAATTTTATTTTCATAACGGATAAATATTCAATTCCGTATCAGACACTCTTTTCAAACGTACGTTGTGCAGCTCGGTGTTAGCAGTCACGGACGATCAACGTGACATTAAAGCAGTTAATGCTTTTATCTAGCGGTATTAGCGACCAGTTTGCATAATATTCGTACATTATCAGCTAAAAAGGAATATCGTGAAGATCGTAGGTGTGGTCACGATGGTAAAGTCGTTATACGCTCATAGACGTATTTGGTTAGGAACAAGGATAGTCGATCCCTACCTACGTACATGTAAATATAATTCCTGTTCGTGCCAGCTCGCAATGATTTTTATAATCTATCACATAATTTTTCGATTTCATTCTCATACTTGTACGTATTAATTAGACGAAACAATGTAAATAATAATTATCGTTATACAACATGGAATAGCATTCGTAATGTCACGAGTAAATGCAAATTGTTTCGCCGATGCGTTTTAATAACGAGAATCTTCTATTGGTACATACACGATCGTAACATTCCTATGATTCGTAGGATTCGTTAATTACAGTCCCGTTTTTGTGTAATCTTATGCAAGACCGTGCATGCCCTGCACCGTTATTAGTTATCGAGGAAGAAATGTTTGCGGTTGTTTCGTTCGCCAAATAACTTATGGCATGGTGACACGTGGAATGCGTTCTTATGCGTTTGACCGTGTCAGACACGACATTGCTAATTTCCCTATTCCACTTGCTTTGTCTTTCTCTACTTACGAGCGTCCCAATTCGGCTTCTTTAACTTTTCTTTAGAAATTCTTTCTAAATCAATTTGAGCATACTTTTAATCATCCGGATTAAAGGTTTTGTAATATCGATACGAATTTTTAATATGTTCAAAATAAATTAGATTTCATTCTAATTTATTATAAGTAAGAATTTTTCGATTTCTAAATCGAAAAGCCAGTCCTAAGGCACATGCCTTGTTTCCCCGATATTACGAGCAAGTTTGCTCATGAAGTCAATGATTAAAATTACCAGTTAGTTATGACGCGCAAATCACCGTATCGCTTGATGAGAATACATATCGACTATGAAAGTATCGATTATGCGTTAATTATGCTACCATTCGTGCAGCGACAAAGCAAACTATAGTATATTACTCTTACATAAGTTTGTTGCTTTTGATGGTCAATATGAAATAAAAAGAATTAGTATCTAATTCTTATAATCGCATTCTTTATATGATTTTTCATTCGTGTCCTAAAAATATGACGATTTCAATGAGCAGTAACAAACGATTTTGCACAAGAAAGATGTTATGAAATATTAATAGTATCGATAAATCCCACGCTTGTAAAGTTGAATCACAATTGCTTCAAGGAAACAACGCGGTAGTATATGTATATACGCATTTGCTAACACTCATTCAATTCAATTGATTTCAATTTGTTCTCGTATAAACGATGGCTTGTCCCTAACTATTTGCGATGAGTTTTCAGCTATGTTCGAACAAACAATAGATCCGGAATATTCGATAGAGAAACGAAAGGCTTTTTCGAAAATTTTTAAACGAGTTACTTTCTGTGCGACCCGTTATGTTGGGGAATGCAGCAATTCTTGAGCCACAGTCTCTTCAACCTAACTCTTCTCGTTAAGAATGTAGCGCAAAGTGATTCTCAATGAAAATAAAATAGCTTAATGTTATCTTTAACATACATGAACTTGAACCTGTAAAAAGTATCAGGAATTCCTTTTTTTATACACTTTTCATTTGCACAGCAAAGACATGTTTCTATTTTGACCTTTCTTGCGATAGACGAAGCGATGATTTTGTCAAAATATGACAATTGGCAGGACTAACTTTTTTAGGTTTCTCAGTGTTGAATGCGAACTTGAACACCATTGAATCAAACGCGTATGTTCACGACACATTCCTAACATTTTCTAGTTCGAGTCGCGTTGCATACGTACAAGACTTGTTTTGACATGCGTTTCGCGTAGTCGAGCGTTCCGTATTGGAACTCGATTATTAATTAGAATCTTGATGAATAGACGATTGCACTTTCGTTTCTAACGTTTTTCTTTACTATACCGATCATCGATCATTCTCGATTATAGATGACACTCTTTCTTTTATCTTGGTTACTTTAAAGTAAGTCAATGTTGAATGCAAACAGTGAGATTTCTATTTGCGGCCGACCTTAAGGTATCGAAATACGCAGATCAGGTATCTCGTGAACGTATAGAGTATAGACTGTAGCCGGTTGAACGAGCAAGAAACGAATGGGGAGAACATGATCGTATTATGTTCTTTAAACGCCCCGTTCTACGTTGAATAATTTTTTAAATCAAATCTAAACCCAAAAGTGACTAAAATAAACCTGTATATACTGATCTTTCAGCGTTTTCATTTCTTTACCGTCCGTGTTGACGGATTCCCGATTTAATAAGTATTTTATCCTTTATCCTTTCGAATATAAAGCATATTTTTAAACTCCCGCCTTAAATTCATTATAATAGTTGTTGTTAACGTGTATTATTTGGTATTTTAATATTGTACAAAGTTGTAACATTATATACAAATTCACAACTAATCATTCATTTTCTACGAAAACAATATTTTTAGAAAACTAAAAATTTTCTGTTCCATATTCTAAATATTGGTACAAATTATCAAATAAATAGTTTTATCGAATATTGGTTACAACTCATTTATTCGTGTAGTTATTTAGAAAACTCAAGTTTATAAATTAAATTGTTATGACTGAGATATAATATAATAATAACATAACAAAATTAACAAGAATGTTTGTTAAGGTTTAATATATAATAAATATAAAAAAAGTAATAGTACACTCGTTGTGTGTACACCAAGAAAAATACGGTCCTGGTTTTGGGTCCGAACGGCAACCCATAGCCCGCAGTGGCAGCTACGCTCTGTCCCGTCGCTGGACTCGTTTGAGTCTGTCGTGAATCGCAACCTGCTGACGTTTCTTCGTCAAGAAAATCGACATTACAAAATTCTTCGGCTCTTTTAAACTATTCAACTCGTTTTATTTTCTGCCTCCTTTAAAAAGTTGTATCATAATGGATTTCCGAGAGAGTCATTCGCAATTAGTGTTTGTTGAAAGTCGTCGTATAATCATATTAGTTTGCGTGCAATTGTGAAAACTCGATACCTGTTCGTGCTTATGGCCGAGATCGATGTGTATTCCATAATGGAATTTTATTATTAATCGATATATAGTGTGTCTTATTAACAACGTTGTGGAGTTTAGTACATCCATAACTTAATTAAGTTGTACATTCATTTTTCCTTTAAGGTTTTCAGCGTTTTTCAGGTTTTTTAATCTAAGATCAAGGGTGATCAGGGTAATTTAGTTTTCCATATCTTACACATAATTACGTAAATATTAGCTTCTTTCTCCTAGAATTTGAATAAACTTAGCTTCGTGAACTTTCCCGCGATGATTATGAAAGTTATTTCTTGTCTGTGATCTGCGCGTGTCCTTATATCAGGTACGAAGGTTAGAAGGCATTTGATTGGAGTTACGTTGTACTTCCGGAAAACTAGAATTTGATTCAAAATACTGTGATTGCGAACTAATATTTTGTTGTTTCGAATAATTCGGTATCTTATATTAGCATGTAATAATTAAAAAATTCTTCTACTATAATTAAATGCTGTGTATGAAATATGATTTTGTGCTAGTGCAGTGTTTTATATAATTTAGTAAATCTAAGGAAACATATTTCATGTAATTTATTTGTATTATTTATCGAATATTTATGTAGTTATAATATTATTAATAAATTAATAGGATCACCGTGGCGAGTAGGCATCATGCCAGCACCAAAAATGTCAGTGATTGGGGATTCCATAAGGTTGGTCCCTGCCGGTAGTCCTGCACTCTTTGAACTTTCTGCTCTTGGTTTTAATAGTAATGAAATTGATGTTCAAATTATAAGTAAGTGAATAATAAAATAATACATGTACTCAAAATCATACATAATTATAAACTTCTTTTTGCCAATGTATAATAATTATTTTCAGCACCTTCTAAGAGACATATACCAGCAAAAATTAATGAAGAGCCAGGACGCCTTGGAGAGTTTCGAGTTGAATTCACTCCAGTAGATGTAGGCAGTCATCTTGTGGAAGTAACCATCGCTGGACAGAAGCTACCGGCAGGACCCCTCGTTGCTAAGGTGTACAACAGCAGTTTAATTCAAGTTACTGATATACCTAGTGCTGTTGTAGGACATGCCTGCCAATTTAGAGGTAATTATAGATGTTTAATAATTAAGAATACTTTACTTTTTCTCATGTCTTCATTTTATAGTTGATGCTAGTGCTGCTGGTGAAGGGCAACTTGAAATTTCTATTAACGAAGGAGAGGTACCTAATCATGTTCAGGTAGTAGGAGGAGGTTGTTGTCTCGTATCTTTTACGCCTGAAATTGCTAAACCACACTACATTGATATAAAATTCAATGGAGAAGCAGTGAAAGGATGCCCCTTTGTTTGTAATGTATCTGACACGAGTAGAGTAACATTAAGCTTAAATCATCTGGAATTAATCCCAGTGGACCAACCTGCTAGTTTTCATATGGGGGTTGATGGCAGTGGGAGTGCAGAACTTGCAGTTTCTGTAAGAGGTTAGTGGTAAAAATTCTGTTATGCATTGAGATTTTGTAATTTGATAAATTTTATAAAGTACTAAATAAATATTTTCCAGGGCCAAATAGTGAATTACCTGTTAAAGTAACTGGAGACATAAAAAGTGGTTTTACAGCAGAATTCACTCCAAAAGACGTTGGCGTTCATTCGATTAGTGTTGAATATAATGGTCATCCTGTAAATGGCACACCGTTTTTAGCTAAAGCATTTAATGCGGATAAAGTACTGATAGGCCCTGTTGCTAGAGGTAGTGTCGGTCAGCCAACGCATTTCACCGGTAAGCAGAAGAAATATCAAAGTAGAAGTTATTTTAAAATAAATTAATGTAACTATTTTAAGACCTTTGTATATTCTTCTTCTTCTGTAGTTGATGCGAGTCAGGCTGGTGAAGGAAATCTAGAAATTACAATATCAGCTCGTAGTCAGAATATACCTACACAAGTCACGCCACAAGGAAATGCTCGATTCTCAGTTAGCTTCGTACCATTTGAAGCATGTGAGCATATCATAAACATAGCTTTCAATAAACGAACTGTACCAGGCTGCCCGATTGTAACTCGGGTAGGTGGTGATAGTCATGTAACAGTGAGTGGGCAGGCATTAAGCAGTGCTGGGTTAGGACGACAAAGTTATCTTACCGTCAGTAACGTTGCCGGTAGCTTGGAAGATTTAGAAGTTAATGTTGAAGGTAAATCTATTTCTCTTTCTTCTTGTGTTATTGCTAATATTCTACCTCGATTATGTGTTTGTGTGTGTATAGCGCATGCATATCTTTCAATTCAAATTTGTATCTTTATTATTTTTGCACAAATATCACTTCCTTTACGGTGATATCTTATTTTTTAAGATCGATGTTCTTTTACATCTAACATTCTAATCCAATATTACAAAATTTTTACAACTTACGCACAGTGGTTTCACCGATGACCGAAAGTATATAAGCACCTTCTATGTTTCGTCTACCACCATCATGTAAAGTTCTTGAATTTTTGTTTGTTTTTAATAATTCATTTAGTTCACATTTTGTGTCTTAATTATGGTGGAAACTTGCACGAAGTTCTACCTCTGTGTTTTTCTATCTTGTTAATCTTTAGCTTGAGAGCAATTCTCTCTTTGTTGCAGGTCGGCCAGCTTTCAGACTACGACATTACTAGACTTCTCAAACAAAACTAATTTCATTCTTATCTTAGTAATGGAATATAATAAATAAATTGGTGGTGGGTTTCTAACATAACATCTTCTAAAATATTGCATAGAGATAGTTTTTCGTACTGTTCTCTTTTTAATCGTTAGTTACCACCTTAAAATATTATTTGGGCTTTGGTTCCACTTTAGTAGATAATTTATTAAAGCGGTGACTAACATTTCACTATTTCAATTTTTGTTACCGAACCAAATTAAAATATGTATTACACGTGCGACACCCATTATATGGTGCTATGCATTTATAATTTTAATTCATAATTGTCGTGGTACTCGAGTATAGTTTTTGAAATTGATGTTTTATACATTGCTTTAATCAATGTGCCAGTGCTATCATTTATTTGAGTAGTACATATTTAGTTTTTAAGTAAAGAAAATCAACAATGCAAAATCGATCTCTTAATTGCTGACGATTTTCTAAATTTTCAAATATTTTGGTTTCATTTTAGTCTGTTCATATCATTCTGATATCATAATAACATTCAGTAACAGACGTACAATTAATTAACCATTAATCTAAAATTAATTACCACGTAATACCTTTTATTACCATTAAACTAATCTTTTTTTCGAACTTAGCGCATATTTATGCATTTTTAGCAATCATTTTGTCATAACAATTCATATAGATATATATTGCATTTTTAATCAGATATTGCTTATTGCAATTGAAAATTTAACATCAAAAGAAAACTTTTCGAACGCGCGTAAACCCCTGATCATTTACTTTTGGTGTCCTGCTGATCCACCTTAGTAGTTGGCTGACTAAATTGTATTAAACAACTAACCGGCGGACTTGATAGGACCCAACGGACAGGCCGTACCCGCTCAAGTCACTGACAACAAAGACACAACATGCAGCGTAGCATTTACCCCAAGAGTAGTTGGAGAACATAGAATTTCGGTAAGCCATCGGAATGTTCCTGTGATTGGTAGTCCATTTAGCTGCAAAGTGTATGACGTGACTGCTATCAAAGTAAAGGATGCTAAATATGGTGTTATAGGAATGCCTGTAACTTTCTTAGGTATTGTCTTCATATTTCGAAATGTTTTAAGGTACATTATATGGGCACCAAAGGTCACAATTTTTTGAATATTTTTTTCTTTTCCATTTTAGTCGAAACTAGTCAGGCTGGACCAGGTAACTTGGAAGTAACGGTAAATGGTGGTCGTGTACCTACATCTGCTCAAGCACAAGGACCACACACGTATGCAATATCTTTTACACCCAGGGAGCCAATTATACATACTGTGGACTTGAGATTTAATGGAGAAGATGTACCTGGTAGCCCTTTTAGCTGTCAGGTATTATATCGTCATTTTTTTAGAAAAGTACGAATATAAGAAAAGAGTAATTGTTTATAAAATGTTAGGTGAGCGATACGGCAAAAGTAATAATCACCGAAGGGCTTGAGAAAGTATCTGTAAATCGTTTGACAACATTTTCGATAGAAGCAGATACTTCTTTAGGGATACCTGCAGTAGAAGTTCTTTCACCTACGAGAGAAAGTTTACCGGTTCATGTTAAACAAAGTGGACATGGCTCTTATACCGCGGGATTTACACCAAAAGATGTCGGTACGTGAAAATTCTATTCGAATATAAGAAAAACTATATGTATGAACAAAATATATACATATATAATATTGATAGGCGATCATAGCGTTGAAGTGAAATTAAATGGATCGCATGTCGAAGGTAGTCCTTTCTTGGTAAAAGCTTATAACGCAGATAAAGTAAAGGTAACAGACATAAACAGTGGTGTTGTCGGGAAACCAGTTTTCTTTAGCAGTAAGTGGTACCTTTTTCTATAATAATTTATTATACTTTCATTCTAATTTATCTGTGTACATTTTTTTTAAATTTTAGTTAATGCTAGCCAAGCAGGTGCCGGTAATCTTGAAATCATTGTTGCTGTAAATGGTAAAAATGTACCGAATTATGTACAAAGTGAAGGAAACGCAAAGTTTAGAGTTAATTTCAAACCTCAAGAAGCTGCTGTACACAGTCTAAGTGTTCGTTTTAATGGAGAACCTGTTCCGGGTATGTAATTGTTTATTATTACTGCACATGTATACAATTGTTCTGTAATATTAAATGTCTCTTTATTTTTAGGCTCGCCATTCAGTTGTAAAGTGGTCGGTGCCGGCCAAGCTATAATTTCAGGTCACAGTTTAAAAATGGGAGCTGTAAAACAATTGATATCTTTCACAGTAGATCCACAAGCTCCTTTAACTAACTGTGACGTAATTGTCACACCTCCATCAAACATATCGCTTCCTATTACAATAGAACCTGTGGATGGAAAATATAATATTAGTTTTGTACCGATGGAAGTAGGCAGACATAATATCAGTGTACTAGTGGATGGCGAACATGTGAAGGGATCTCCATTTGCTTGTAACATTTATGACGTTACAAAGGTAATTTAGTTAATATGTTTGGAAATCGTTTATCCGATAACATAATTTAATACAAACTGGTATAGGTACACGTATCGGGTCTTACGGAAGCATTATTGGGCCAAGCAACAACATTTACAGTCGATGCTGCAGAAGCTGGTGAAGGCACATTGGAATTAGTAGTTAGTACAGAAAATAATACAGTTAAAGCCGAAGTAGTTGCTTGTGCACGTGGCTTATATGATGTAACATTTGTTCCTCAAACTACTAGCACTCACTACGTTAATATCAGTTTTAACGATGATAACGTACCAGGTTTGTAATTTAGATAGTCTTTCTCTATTAATTAACGTTAATAGTAATGAGATCATAAACGGCTGTTATTATTGTTCATTAGGAAGTCCATTTAAATGTCCAGTAGTTAGTACTATGTTAGATGGACCATCTATGATTCGAGTTGGTAATACAGCATACATGGATTTAGAAATGCCGGGTCTAGAGGGACCTGTATCTGCTGAAGTAACTGGTAATATATTTTCGTAGTATTAACTTTTAAGCCTGATATGTTTTTAAATAACATATTTAATAATAGGTCCTGACGGTATAATTATTCCATGCACGTTGACAAAATTATCGTTAAATTTATATCGGGTAGAAATTCGAACACGGCAGGTTGGAACATACAGTGTAATATTTAATGACGGACACAAGATGATTAGTTCTCAAACTCTTCAAGCTTTCGATCCAGGAAAAATAGTGATAAAAGAAGTGTCGGATGTAGTTTGCCACCGACCTGGTACTATTATAGGTATGATAGATATAGTTCTAGACACACGTGTGAGAGACACTCTTCTTTTTTATAAATAATTTACGCGTAGTGGTTGCACCAAAAGAAGCTGGTCCTGGAAAATTGTCCGTAAATGTACGCGCTGCCGGATCTGATGTCGATAGCGTTGTCAGAGAAGGAGAAAATGGTCTTTATGAAATAATTTTTCATCCTACACGAGCAGCTCCTCATAGGGTTCATATAAAATATAACGAAGTTCACATATCAGGTACATTTATAAATATTAGCTGTTTCTTTCTCCTTTCTGGGCTTATCTTACGTTACTTACCGTGTAATTTCATTTTAGGTAGCCCCTTAGATGTAACAGTTCGTAGTCCAACTGGAGGAAGAGAGGTAACGGCAACAGGATTAGGACTGTACCAATCATGTGTCGGGAAAGTAACTTCTTTTACTATTGAAACATTGGGACGCCCTGGAAAAGAATTTGATGTTGTAATTAGTGGTCCTCAAGGCAATGCAGTACCAGTTCGATGCTATCAACACCGAGATGGAAATTTGCTTGCTGAATTTACTACAAATACTGTTGGTGAGTGTTAAGAAAAATCGATAAAAATTAAAATGATACTCGCAACACTGTTTTAAAAATATATTATTCCATCAGGAACATACAAAATTGATGTTTTGCAAGGTGCAAAACCAGTCTTAGGTTCACCCTTCTTCTGTCAAGCTTTCGACGTTTCTAAAGTAAAACTACAAGAACTTGGTCCTATGACAGTATCTGTACATGATCATATTGCATTTAAAAGTACGTATTTGAAATAAATTTATATGGTACGTTCGGTGTATTATAAACATATTATATGTATCGTTTCGAAGTAACAAGTTAAAACATTATTTCATTATGTTTGTGTCCATAAATAATTACAGTAATAAAGTCGGATGCTGGAATAGCGGACTTGGATGTAGTAGCAACAAGTCCATTAGGCCAAGAACTTCCATTACAAGTTACTCCTCTTAATGACGGTGCTGAAATGATTGAATTTTCTCCTAGTGTACCTGGCACTTACATGATTAATATTACATACGGTAAGATTTATCTTTATCTTAATAAACGTTAACTATATTTGGGCGTAGAAATTAAGTCGTGTTACGTTTCCCGTATCTAGGAGGCTGTCATATACCTGATAGCCCGGTAATGTGTACGGTTGATGCAGCTGGACAAGCTCGTGCAAAAGGAGAAGGATTACTAAGCGGTCACGTAGATAAAGCTGCACATTTCATTGTTACTGGTACAAGGAGTCCTCCAGCAGTTCAGGTATCGATAAATAAATGAATAAACTTTTCAATTTATATTTTTGAGTTCTATGAGTACTATCTGTTTGGGATTAGGTTGATGGCCCGGATAGTGTTTCGAAAGCGATCATTGAAGCTGGAGCTAATCCTGGTACTTGGAACGTATCTTATATACCAACTGAAGTTGGAGTATTTGATATTAGAGTAGTTTCCGCCGGTCAACAACTTCCTGGATCTCCGTGGCATCCAAAAATTATAGACACACGAAATCTTCGCGTAATCGGTAAATAATAATTTACAATAAAAAAAAAAATGAAGACTAAGAATATTTAAAGACATTTTTTCTTTTTTCACTAAGGTGGTTGGTCGGCCGTATGCGACGATCTAGGGCGATTAAAATTACATCCTTCGAATAAAATTAGTTTCGATACCGCCGAAGCAGGACCTGGTGAACTTTCTGGGAAAATAGGAGATCATGCGTTATCTTTTGAAATGACGTCAAATAATAGACTGAAGCTTATTCCGCCGCAATTAAATGGTGGAGAGTATCGTTTAGAAATATTGTTCAACGGCGTACCATTTCCAGGAGTCCCAAAGTTAGCGATTGTTCAAGATCTCGAGGTACATGATATACGCATTAAATAAACATTATATCAGTTCGAAATAATTAATGCCTTTTCTTTTTATTTTTAGCCACCTATCCAAGATACAAGTCGAGTTCTGCTGAGGGGGAGAGGATTAACGTCAGCTAAATGTGGAGAAGAAGTTAGCTTCACTATAGACGGCTCTCAAGCCGGTAGTGGAACACCTAAAGTGCAACTTTTTTCACCAACCAATGAACTTAATGTAATGTTGCAACATTTAGGTAAGTAGTTTGTTAGGTTTTCTAGCAATGATACATTTCTATTTAAAATATGATTTTAATTTTCTATTCAGGAGACAGCGTTTATCGAGCCAGTTACATACCATTAACTCCTGATCCTCTTTTAATGACTGTGTCTTGGAATGGAAGACAGTTAAAAGGATGTCCTTTACAGATAAACGTAACGAGTGCGGCTGATGCATCGCGAGTTATTTGCTCCGGGGATGGATTAAAACATGGCATCGTGGGACAAGAAATAAGGAGTTTTATCGATACCAGACGTGCGGGACCTGGTACGTAAATTGATCTCGTAAGGTGTAAATTTAAAACTTACTAGTATATTTAAAATGCGAATATTTCTCAATGTCTAGGTGAATTAACGGCACATTGTGTGGGGCCGCATAAAGTAGCATATTGCGAATTATATGATCACGGCGATGCAACATTTACTTTAAACGTGAAACCTCAAGAAGCTGGACGTCATGCGTTGACTATAAAATATGCCGGAGAACATGTTCCGGGTTCTCCTTTTACGTTACGTGTTTCCGGAGCACCTGATGCTTCAAAGGTAGTTATATGTAGTGGGATTAAGCGTAATAAAAGAAATATAGTTTTATTTCGACGAAAACTAATCGATTGAAAAATGCTTCCAATTATAGGTTCGAGTTTATGGGCCAGGAATCGAACATGGAGTATTAGCAACGTTTCAATCACGATTTATTTGCGATACACGTGGAGCTGGTGCCGGTCAGCTTACAGTAAGAGTACGAGGCCCTAAAGGAGCGTTCAGAGTAGAAATGCAAAGGGAAACTCAAAAAGATCGTATAATACTTTGTCGATATGACCCAACAGAACCAGGCGATTATAGGGTCGAAGTTCGTTGGGCAGGTGTTCTCGTACCGGGATCTCCGTTTCCCGTTAAAATCGTGGACACGCAAGATGAATTATTAATGTTAACGCAGGTAAGATTAAAGTAACAAAAAATGAACGGAAGTTTACGAACGCATTCGGATTATTGTGTAGACATGAACATGTTTACTAATTGATTTTAGGGTGGAGATAACTATTCAACAGGACACCATACCATCGCGTCATGGCGTGGATCGCAAGCTATATTATAAGATTATTACGCATAAAGTTGTTATTATTTTGTATGAACTAATAATATATTTTCATAATATATAATTCTATTGTAACTTATCTAAATGTTTACAATAAAATGTATTTTGACAATTTTTGTTATTTTACAAATACGTACGTTTCAATTCTCCATGGAAAATGTAACGTTTATTATATACAAAGCAAACAAATTTGTTTGATACAAAAGTAAACATAGAAATTTAACATTTCTTTATTTTGAATAGCCTACAATATTACCGTTTATTCTTTTTTTCCAATTTACTAAGTTCTCTGAACACGTGCTTTTTCAATTCTTTTTGTCTCTTAAGTTTACGTTCCTCTTCCGCAGTAATCCGAGTTCGAAGTGCCGCTATTCTTTGTTTCGTAGCTTGTTTCAGCTGTCGTTGCTTATGGACATAATTAGTTCGGATCATCGTCATCAATTTCGCTACATGCTCCTCTTTTGGTTCACGCACTACAGCAACTCTGTTATCTCTGAATTTGGGTGGCAGTAGACCAGAATGTGGTCCTAATTTTGGTTTATCCTTATACGGAAGCTCTTTCTGTAAACTTCGAGGAATTACCAATGGTTTAAATACTTTCGGTTCTCTCTCAATAGGCGTGTACATGGAATCTGTATTAGCTGGCACGCGTATATTCCTCTCCCTCTTCAACTGACCCGTTGTTTTCATTCCCTGCCAACGATTCTTTTCGTCGGGCGGTAACAGAAGCGATGTTACAGGATTATAAAACTTTGGGACGTCCACTTTGTACCACGTTCGGCAAAAGACAATGTCACTCAAGAGTATTTTATCCTCGAACGTGGCGCGGAAGCATCCTTCAGGTTTTGATACTGCTTTTTTTATTTGACCGCGTATACCGGATACAGTTTTTATCTTAGCACCCTCGAATTTTGCCACCTCGAGCACTGAATTAAACATATCTTTAATAAATGCTGTCTTTTTATAAATTTTTAACGGAACACCAGTGAGTTTTAACTTTTTCATGATTTGCGTGCTCTTGTCCATCTCTACGATCGAACCTGTTGCCGCTATCCTAAATCCTGGTATCCTAGTCGCAACATCCTGAATGGCCAAAACTCCTGTGCTCTGGGGAGTAATAGGACCCCAAAAATGTGCCATGCACGCAACGTGTTCTGGTGTATATTTCAACATTCTGTTTTTTAAATTATCTTCTAGTTTCGAAAAAATTGGTAACGTCTGGAATCGTCTCCAACCTATGGACAGTATCAATGGATCCTTGCTTTTCAGTATCTTTGAATACCACCGATGTTTTTTTATCCTTGTTTGTACATAGCCTATGTTCTCTTCGCCGTGTAAAAGCCCACCGATAATCAATGGATAAGTGGGATCTAAATGGGTGATAAGTTCGCAAGGTACTGTTTCTATTTCGACGCGTACGTACATACCTGGGCGATAACCTTCCAACTGTACCCTGACGTTATCGTCTACTCCATCAAACTCTGATTTGTTCAGATTCGATTGCTTTTCCACCTCTAATTTTAGCTCGTCGTAGTACGTTTTTGTTTCTCCGTTATCGTACTCTGAATCAAATTGTTCTTTCAACTTTTTCTTCTTTTCCAAAAGCTTCCTCCTTTCTTCTTTCTCGTCCGTTATCGATGATTTTGATTCTTCACCTTCGTGTTTCTCATTAGTTTCCAAGTCTTCAAAGTCTCCGTACAACTCTTCGTCATCCATATCATCTAGTTTCAGAAGTTCCTCTGCATCTTCCGAGTCTTTCCATTTTCCCGTTACGAAACGATTCGTTACGAGTACCTTATTTTCTTCTGCCAACCAATCTCGTGGAGTGTCCGTGAAGAATACGGATTCTTCTTGATTCTGTACCTCTTTTTCCTGTATTTTCTGTTTTTGCTGTTCTTGAACTACGCGAAAGATGCCACCTATTTCCTTCTCATCATCGTTTCCGTCCTCATTATCCTCGACTTCCTGTTTTTGCAAGTATGCTTTATCATATACTCCGTACACGATTTTCATTAGATTCTTATTGTTTCGTTGACGATTTTCAAATGCTTCTTTTGCTTTCTCGACTAAATTTGATTTCCACTTTAATTCATCTGCAATTTCTTCTTCATCCTCCATTTCTTCATCTTCCGTTTCTTCACCTTCCATTTCTTCATCGTCCACTTCTTCATCTTCCATTTCTACATCTTCTTCTTCTACGTCATCGTTTTCATTTTCGTTTTCTTCATAATTCTTATCTTCGAAAGTTTCATGCTGTAAGTCAGTTTCCTTGTCTGAATCGTATACTTCTAATCCAGTTCGCGACTCTGTATCGCTAAGTTCGTCAAAACTTTCACTATCGCTATCTGGTCTTTTGTTAGATTTATTTAAGCCAGAATTTAATTTACTTAACGCTTCCGTGATTTTATTTTTTATAGCGATATCAGATTCCTTACTTAAAGAATGATAAACTTCTGTAGTATTCGATTCCGTTGAAGCGGTATTGGTTTTAACATTATCAGTTTCTTCTTTCGTATCATCAAGATCACTGTCTTCCGGGTCTGAATTAATTATCGCGGCCTCTTGCTTTTTACGTTTCACATTTTCTAATCGAGATATTTTATTTTTTCTTTTCGTACCTCGATCTTCGTGCATCTCTTCAAGTTCAGTATTATCTTCTACTTCGTCCGCGTCGTTACTTTTCTGGATTTCTTCCGATTCTTCTTCGTCGTTATTTTCGTGATCGCTCTCATCCGATACATTGTCGGAAGATTCTGCCGTTTCAGTATTAGAGAACAAAACCTTTCTTCTAACTCTACCATTGTCGATTACAGTTTCTCCGACATAATTCCCAAAATTTTCATTTATATCTTGCGACTTTATCGGAGCAGTGTCACTAAATAACTGCAGTTCGCTATGTTTTAATTTTTGATCGAGCGTCTCCTGCGTATTCATTAAAGCTCCAACCAAGCCCACGTCTTCTTCTTTGTGAGAATGACTGCCACCTAATTCAACATATACTGCATCTTTGTCGTAAACTATTCCACCAACTCCAGAAAAGGGTGCGTAAATGAGTCGTTCTTTTTCGACTAAGGCACGTTTTTTCAGTTCCTCTGGCAAAGGACACGGGTCTGGCAAAAAGCTAACATCCTTAATTTTTAAATCGCCACATCCTGGAATATGTATGGATGTTTCTTTGTTCAGTGGAACTCCTCTTACGTACCTATTACAAAAATGTTAAATGAATATTTTATTACGATAGAAAATGGTATTTGTATACGTACATAAACAAGATACTACATACCCATACAAACTAATGGTTCTATCAACCTTTGGATTTTGTCTTATTAATTCTGGTGATGTCAAATCTTCTACTCTATCTGCAAGAATATAGGGATGCGTGGAACGCCATGTCAAGGGTCTAAACTTCATTACCGATATAAATCTTGCCAAATTTTTAATCTCTGTACGTAAATATTCATCATGAAGTAATCCAGACAAATAAAACAATTTTGCTCCAGCATAAACTTCTGTCCAAAACCTCTGTTTTAACGTTTTCTTAGTCCTCTTTAATTGCTTTGCATTTTTTATTAAATCCAGATGCGTCAACACACCCATAATTCTAGGCATGCCATGAACTTGACAAATGTTTAAAAATTCAAAGATTTCCATTTCAAAACCAAAAGATGCATCTATTAGGAGGAGCACTAGATCTGCTACTTTCGCGATATCTATCATACTGTTTATGTCGTTGTTACATTCCATGAAAGTAATTCTTCGTTTCTTACCAGAAACAATGGTAACTGGACCAAGTATGTTGGTCAACGGTTGTCTTACATAACTTTTAATAAGACATTGAATTACCAATGATTTACCTACTTTTGGGGGACCAACGACGGCAACTAAAACCGGTGGTGGTTCTACAGGTGTTCTATCAACTAATGGTACATGCTGCTTTTTTGTTTCAATATCTTGTTTCCGCCTAAACCGTCGCTCTGCTTTAATTGCAGAATTAAATGTAAACGCTTTTGGATTTTTTTGTTTATCCGATAATTCTTCTACATGCTGCTTCTTCGCTTTCTTTTTCTCCGCTTTACGACCAGCATTACGTTCTCTATGAGTCCTGTGGGTTATCGTTTCACCCGATTCGCTCGCCATTTTTAATTTCTTTATAAAAACGATTGCTTAAGAATTAAAAACGCCTCCTTTTTTAACCCAATTTCCTCATTTTTACAAATATTTATGTTAGCGATTAAGGTTATATTCACATGTTACACCTGATCCTATAATCACGTTCACGAAACAGCAATAGCAAAATCAACACCACAGAGTACACCAGAGGCGACACTCTCTTTTTTAACGAAAAACTATACACGTGGCGCCGCCCAGTGGTAGTGAGTTATGCTGAGACGTAGTACACATGCTCGAAACAAGGCAGAAAATACTAGGCTGTTTATGAAATCATAAATTGATTATACTAGGTCTGTTTGATTGAGGCGCTCCACGCCTAATCTAACAATGTTGAGCGAGCGAGTAAATTTCACGCTAAAGCAAAAATATTCTACCGTGTCATCCGGTTGAATTAGTTGAGTGGTGCAAGAGAAAAACATGGACAAAAAAGTTGAAAAGTCAAGTACATAAACGCGAGCAAATTCAATTTTGCATTAAAGTCTACGGGGATATGGTTTTTTGATAATTATTCCTCCGTGGCATTCGCGGGCGGCGCGCAGGAGGAATATACACGATAATGAGTATGCAAAATCATTAATTACTCACTTTCTGAGCACAGTCTATGAACTTTTATGATTAAAGAATGGTCAGCAATGCATTATTTACATGGTTC